GCAGGTAGTGAGGCAGGCTTCTGAGAAGACTCTGGTGACTTCCTCAGTGGTAGTAGGGCTGAAGGAGTGCAGTGATGGGGGGGTTACGGTAGGCAGGGCCTTGGGTGTGGTGGGGGGGGCAGTGCCGTTGCGTTGCGAGGTCAGAGGAGGGGAGAGATGAGGGGGTGATGGAAGGGGGGAGGCTAGATGGGGAGGTAGATTGCAAGTTGACTATGTCCTTGCGGATTGCGTCAATCTTGTTGTGGAGATGAGTGGCAATCTCGTGGGCGGTAAGTGAGGTACTGAGTGGAGGAGGGGGGGGAGAGAGCAGGGAGTTGAAGGTGGAGAAGAGTCGGCGAGGGCAGGTGGAGAGGGGTGTTGATCAAGTTAACGAAGTAGGCCTGCTTGGCGGCGTGGAGGGAGGAGGTGTAGGTGAGGAAGGCAGATTTGTAGAGGGAGAATGTATGAGGGGACCTGGTTTTGCGCCATAGTCTCTCCAGCGCACGACTGCGACGTTTGAGGCATTTAGTATGGTCGTTCTGCCATGGTTGGAATGGTCTGGGTTTGATGTTGCGTGTGGTTAGGGGTGCCAGCGAGTCTAGGGTAGCTGATAGTGAGTCGTTGTACGCGGTGGTGGCTAGGTCAGGACATGACAGTGGTTGGATGCTGTCGTGTAAGCGGTCGGCAGCCGAGTGGAGGGGGGGGCGGGTGCAGGTTGCGGAGGTTGCGGCTGATGATGGTTTGGCGCACTGGGGGGGGGGGGAGTTAGGGGAAGGGGGAGATGGAGAACGTGAGGAGGTGGTGGTCAGAGAGAGGGGAAAGGGGTGTTAGTGAAGTGGTTAAGGGTACAGAGGTGGGAGAAGACGAGGTCCAGGGTGTTCCCATTGATGTGGGTGGAGGATTGAGTGTGTGTTGTGTGAGCGCGAAGGAGGAGGTTAGGTGGAGGAGTTGGGAGGTAGCTGGGGTGTTGTCGTTGATGGGGATGTTGAAGTCCCCGAGGATGATGGTCGGTAGCTCAGAGGAGAGGAAGAAGGGAAGCCAGGCGGCGAAGTCATCCAGGAAGCGGACTATGGATCCGGGGGGCCTGTACATCACTGCGATCCTTAGGGGGGTGGGTGAGAAGAGCCGGATGCAGTGAGCCTCGAAGGAGGAGAAGGTTAGGGAGGGGGGGGTTAGGGAGGACCTGGAAGGTGCTCAGCGTTGATAGGAGCAGGCCGACACCACCACCTTTGTGACCGCTCAGTCTTGGTGAATGGGACCAGACGAGACCTCCATGGGAGAGTGCCGCAGGGGAGGTAGAGTCAGTGGCCTGTACCCAGGTTTCGGTGATGGCTAGGAGGTTGAGGGAGCGGGAGATAAAGAGGTCATGGATGGCAGTTAGTTTGTTGCAGACCGAACGGGCGTTCAGAAGTGCAACCGAGAGAGGGGGGATGGATGCGGGGAGGAGGTGCACAGGTATGAGGTTGGGGGGGTTGCGGCGGCTGGCGGGAGCAGGGGGGGTCCCTGGAGGGGGGGTTCCTGGAGGGGGGGGTGAGGTGGTGAGGGGCCAGGGTTCGGGGAGATGTCCCCGCGGATAGGAGAAGGGTGAGGAGGGTGGCATGGGAATGGGAGGTGCAGGAGCGTGTGGGTCTGGTAGTGGTGGCACGTGGGTCGACCGGGGAGTGGAGTACCAGGAGGAGGTGGTGAGTGCCATAGTGGGGAGAGGGCAGAAGTGAAGGGGCAATGTAGAGCTGTTTTTGGGGGGGTGGGGCGGGTAGAGGGAGGCGATTTTTGGGATGGAGGAGAGGAAAACGAGGAGGAGAAGTGCAGGTGGCATGCTGGGGTGAGTGCAGTGCTGTTCGGGTCAGGGGAGGTGAAGGGATACGGGTCAGGGCGAGGTGATGTGGAGAGTCTGTATCACCGTGGAAGAGTCCACTAGAGTCCTTCTGTAGGGGGAGAGTGGGAGTAAAGGGCAGCAGCTGGCTGGTTGCAATCTGTGGGTGTAGTATGCTGGCGTCCGAGGGGTCTTCAGTGGGTCCGGTGGATCGGCGAGTGGAGGGGTCGTAGGGTGCGATGCCTGGGGGTGTTTGGTAGGCACGGCGTCTGGTGATGCTGGCGGCTCGGTGACTGGAGATTCGCTGGGTGGTCCGGAGATTCGCTGGGCGACGTCTCGATTCGCTGGGTGGTCCGGGTGTTGGGTGTCCAGAGGTGGTAGCTGGGTGCCCGGTAGCTGGGTGCCCGGTAGCTGGGTGCTGGGTGTCCAGGGGTGGTAGCTGGGTGCTGGGTGTCCAGGGGTGGTAGCTGGGTGCCCGGTAGCTGGGTGCTCGGTAGCTGGGTGCTGGGTGTCCAGGGGTGGTAGCTGGGTGCCCGGTAGCTGGGTGCTCGGTAGCTGGGTGCTGGGTGTCCAGGGGTGGTAGCTGGGTGCCTGGTAGCTGGGTGCAGGGTGACCAAAATAATTCTGGGACATGTTCTAGTGGGGAGAGGAAGGTTTGGATGATGGTTGGACATACCACTTAGGGTGGCCATAGACCTCAGATGATGGACGTGCAAGGTATGATCCCACTGTCATCGGAGGTCTTTTTCATATTGACACATGTACATTTTTTTCACTTGAGTGTGCATCTCTGTGCGTTGAAAGGAGAGAACAAGATACTCCTAATGCTGTTTATATCAGAAGAAACAATAGCTATAGGAAAGGGTTCATTGTCCCATAAACGTGAAGTTGTTGCCAAATTGACCAATAACAGCTCAACTGGGGAAAAATGTCTTTATTGAAGACATGTGCTATATGAAGAACCAACTAATTGGATCTCCTGGTCCCTTAAAGGTTAGGTTCACCTTTTCAAAAATAGACTATGCAGTCAAAAAACACAGGAATAATAATAAAAAGTGTGCAGCTTTTAAAAACGTTGAATAATATAAATGCAATACCTGTAGGCCATTGGCACCCCCCCCACAGAAGCCTGTCCAAAAACTCCCCAAGCTATCTGTACCCTGTCCTGTTGTTAGGACACTGTAGCAGTTTGATGCTTGCCCCCAGCATCAGCGGAGCTTCGCATGGGCATTGCACTTTCTCCCGTCACAGCAGTACTGAGCTTTTCATATGACAGAACTAGTGCTTGTTGGATGGCCCAGCACTGGCACATTGGGGCGGCAATTCAGTCCTTAGTAAGCTTCCACTGGAAACAACTCAGCATACCTTACACAGGGATACCTTGCTTTTGCCAGCAAACAGTAAAGTATTAGATATTGCAGGGGCTGGTTTTAAAGTGCATGAGCAAAGAACAGGTTTACCTGAATACAGTATAGGTCTACTGTACCCGCATACATCCCTAGCCATCAATGGCGTCTCTGTTTTCTGTAAACTACTTGACCCCCCGCTTCTTTCTCTTTTTCCTCATCTGGCACTTAAACTAAACCTGCATACAGCTAACAGTGTAGAACTTCTTGCTGTGATCAGTTCATCGGTCACCTGGGTACTAGAATTGAGCATTTCTAAAAATTTGAAGTTAACATGAAGTAATTAGGTAACTCCGACAACGCGAGATGATCGTCGGTAATAATCAGTATGTTACTTTGAGCCATTGTGAGTTATATGTGAGCCAATGTGAGTTGTATGTGAGCCATTTTGAGTTATATGTGAGCCATTGTGAGTTATATGTGAACCATTGTGAGTTATATGTGAGCCATTTTGAGTTATATGTGAGCCATTGTGAGTTATATGTGAGATATTGTGAGTTATATGTGAACCATTGTGAGTTATATGTGTGAGCCATTGTGAGTTATATGTGAGATATTGTGAGTTATATGTGAGATATTGTGAGTTAGCCATTGTGAGTTATATGTGAGCCATTGTGAGCCATTGTGAGTTATATGTGAGCCATTGTGAGTTATATGTGAGCCATTGTGAGTTATATGTGAGATATTGTGAGTTATATATTGTGAGTTGTGTGTGAGCCATTGTGAGTTATATGTGAGCCATTGTGAGTTATATGTGAGATATTGTGAGTTATATGTGAGATATTGTGAGTTATATGTGAGCCATTGTGAGTTATATGTGAGCCATTGTGAGTTATATGTGAGTATTGTGAGTTATATGTGAGATATTGTGAGTTATATGTGAGCCATTGTGAGTTATATGTGATATTGTGAGTTATATGTGAGCCATTGTGAGTTATATGTGATCCATTGTGGGTTATATCTGATCCATTGTGGGTTATATCTGATCCATTGTGGGTTATATGTGAACCATTGTGAGTTATATGTGAGCCATTGTGAGTTATATGTGAGATATTGTGAGTTATATGTGAACCATTGTGAGTTATATGTGAGATATTGTGAGTTATATGTGAGATATTGTGAGTTATATGTGAGCCATTGTGAGTTATATGTGAGCCATTGTGAGTTATATGTGAGCCATTGTGAGTTATATGTGAGATTATATTGTGAGTTATATGTGAGCCATTGTGAGTTATATGTGAGTTATTGTGAGTTATATGTGAGTTATTGTGAGTTATATGTGAGCCATTGTGAGTTATATGTGAGCCATTGTGGTTATATCTGATCCATTGTGGGTTATATGTGATCCATTGTGGGTTATATGTGAGCCATTGTGAGTTATATGTGAGCCATTTTGAGTTATATGTGAGATATTGTGATTATATCTGATCCATTGTGAGTTATATGTGAGCCATTGTGAGTTATATGTGAGCCATTGTGAGTTATATGTGAGCCATTGTGAGTTATATGTAAGCCATTTTGGGATTATGAAAAATCCAGTCCTCTAATATTCCAGTGTCTTTTCTCTTGGTAGGTATGACAATCGTTGCAGACACTTGACCTCAGCACAAATACAAGAAAAACTGTCAAAAAAGTTCCCGTTTGTGGTACGGTTCCAGCTGGCCGTAGGACCTCAGCCTTTTAAGGACTTGGTTTTTGGCCGGACTCAGCATGATGTGGCAAGCGCAGAAGGGGATCCAGTGATCCTGAAAGGAGATGGTTTTCCAACCTACCATTTGGCCAATGTCGTAGATGATCACAAAATGGCTGTAAGCCACGTGTTTAGAGGAGAGGAATGGCTGATCTCCACTGCTAAGCATCTACTCCTATACCACGCATTCGGATGGCAGCCTCCGTCGTATGCCCACCTCCCACTCCTTCTCAACAAAGATGGCAGCAAACTGTCCAAACGACAGGGGGACATATTTATCCAGCATTACGCCAAGAGTGGATACCTGCCGGACACCCTGCTTGACATTATATCAAACTGTGGATCAGGATTTCTTGGTAACACTGGAAAGCAAGTGGTGTCCATTTTCGAAGAACATGGGCATAGAACCATGCTTGGCAGAGGGTGAATAACAGAAACTGGTGAAAGTAATATGCAGCGCATATGCAAAGGTTTTTCTTTAAAGCAACTCTGACTCCATTTAAAAACAATCGGCCTGCAATAGAAGAGAGTTACTCACCTGTAGCACCACTGATCTTCATTCTCTTCCAGGAGCTACCACTGCAGAAAATTCTTCTGCATTGGACACATTTCTGGATGTGTCAAATTTCTTCTCCCATGCTGTGTGCTGTGGTACCTCCTGATGGCATATACATCACTACTGTGTAGTGGGCAGTGGAGGCAACCACAGCATGCTGCGGGGATGCAAGCAACCAGCACATCTGGAATTGTCAGATGTAAGGATTCTGCAGTCTTTGCCATAAAGATGGTGAAACAAGGCATCATTAACTGTCATCTTTTGCAGGTTTTTTGCTAACCTTAAAAGTGGTGACAGGGATGCTTTAAAGCTCACCTGTCATCTGGATATTCAAGGCAAAATTACCAATTTCCCTCACACATACCATACACACTCTGATGCCAAGTTTTGCCAACAGCGTGGCCTTCCGTTTGGTCCTCCAGAAAATCCTATGCAAACCCTGTCTTATGAAAGTCAGTATGTCCATACTGATAAAACAGGGATGCAGCGCTAAAATTATACAAGTGAAGATATGTGCAGGCGCCTATAGGCGTAAAGGTGAAATCATGTGAATCGTCCAAATGTGACGTAAATACTGTAAACGCTATCTAATAATAAATATACTATAGTCATGTGACTATGGTGATGAATATGAAGTCCACTGAAGTGATAATCCAATTCCGTGACTTGAGTGCTTACAAAATGGTAATGTGAATGCACTAACCAGAAGCGCAATCTTTTTGCGCATTTGTGTAAATGGTATAACCCATCATGGTCATCTGGATGTGGACAGGACCAAGGCAATCATCTGGCACTCGTCAGCATACAAGTAGATTAGCGTATCCTACGCACACTTTCCAAGGACATCTCCTCACATGTACATGACCAAATGGACAGAGAGCCTCAAGGCATGTAGTGGTATCCACCCTGGAAGGCTGTATCCAACTCGCTTTTTACTTGTCCTTACTTGGAAGAAGGGAACCCTTCAGAGTTGGTAGACGGATCGGAAGTAGTAAGGATGCCGGGTGATTTGAGAGACAGCAGTGAAGAAAAACATCCGTAAGTGATCACCGGTAACAGATCTTCACGCGGGATCTGTGATCGGATTCAATGTGTTGAATCTCTCAGATGGGAGTCACGTGTCGGATGAACACGGGTCATCCGACACGTGACTCCCATCGGAGAGATCCGACACATTGAATCCGATCACAAATCCCGCGTGAAGATCTGTTACCGGTGATCACTTACGGATGTTTTTCTTCACTGCTGTCTCTCAAATCACCCGGCATCCTTACTACTTCCGATCCGTCTACCAACTCTGAAGGGTTCCCTTCTTCCAAGTAAGGACAAGTAAAAAGCGAGTTGGATACAGCCTTCCAGGGTGGATACCACTACATGCCTTGAGGCTCTCTGTCCATTTGGTCATGTACATGTGAGGAGATGTCCTTGGAAAGTGTGCGTAGGATACGCTAATCTACTTGTATGCTGACGAGTGCCAGATGATTGCCTTGGTCCTGTCCACATCCAGATGACCATGATGGGTTATACCATTTACACAAATGCGCAAAAAGATTGCGCTTCTGGTTAGTGCATTCACATTACCATTTTGTAAGCACTCAAGTCACGGAATTGGATTATCACTTCAGTGGACTTCATATTCATCACCATAGTCACATGACTATAGTATATTTATTATTAGATAGCGTTTACAGTATTTACGTCACATTTGGACGATTCACATGATTTCACCTTTACGCCTATAGGCGCCTGCACATATCTTCACTTGTATAATTTTAGCGCTGCATCCCTGTTTTATCAGACTTTTTAGAGGGTAGGAGGTTTACCATGATGCTAGCATCTTTATACCTAGCGCTCGTTTATATCCTATGTTAGTATGTCCATACTGCTAAGTGCATCCTACTTCTGGAGGAATGGTGTCACGGTCAGGGGTCAGACCCAGAGACCAAAAGCTATAGCAGCAGTGAGGCTCCCACCAACCAGCAGGATAGGTATACAAGCAAGTCACTATTGCGGATGATGCGGGCTCACCAGAGGTACAGGGTCTAAGTACTAACTGGTATTTACTGGAGCTCCTGAAGGTGGAGATGGGTTTTTCTACCTGTTAGTACCAGGTTGTGGTCCTCAGGATCGCCCCACCAGGAGGTGAGCAAGCCGGGATCCAGTAGTAGATACAGCAGGTAGGGATCAAACAAGTGTAGTCAGTAAACTAGCCAGAGGGTCGGTAACAAGTAGTTGCACATTGGGATCAAGCAAAAGGAACAAGCCAAAGGTCAGTAATGAGTGGTAGCAAACATATGGGCGGCACCAAAAGCGACAAAAGCGAGATATTGGCTGGAGAGAGCACAATAATCTGGCATACAGGAAGTGCAAAGGCATGGTTTTAATAGAAAGTTCATAGGAGGAGCAGGGAGTTCAAGGCAGGATCATTCAAGGAGTTGTCCAGGGAGCTGTCCAGAATTTCAGGTGGCTCAGGAAGAGTTACTGCCAAATACAGCAGAGGTCCGGGGTTCAGATCCAGGCCCTGACAATGGCTTCTTTGGGATAGATAACTAGTCAAGCCATACTGTGTATGAATACACCCAGGTGAGATGGTCGGAATGCAAGTGCATTATTGGTTTTTAAGTCTACTTTAATATTCTGCAACCTTGTTATTTATTTTTTTCTACTTTTGACTGAAATTGGGAAGAATTAGGAGTGTTGGGTTTTTACCGTTCACTGAGGCTCCATTAGAGAGATTTCTTTGCTAACTATGGTTTCACCAGAGAAAGGGAGGCAAGATCTGCAGCAACGGCTCCTTACCCTACTAAAGAAACGCATTTTTAATTTCTGTCTGTGTTTTTATTAGAATAGTAGTAGAGTTACCCTCACTTCCTATCTGGTAAAGGATTGTTAGCCATACAGAAAGTGAGAGTAAATCTTTCTAGGGGAGCCCCAAATAACAGGTTTTGCTCCTTGCCCCAAAACTTATTCTTGCCTGAAGATTAAACTAAAACAGGGATGCAAACAAACTTCATTGTGCTTAAAGCAGAGTTCCAGACTTTTTTTTTTTCTCCCTTGAAAGACAATGGTCTCCCTTTTCACAGTCCGTTTTGGCAATACATATTTATATTTTTTTTCCTAAATACCTTTTTATTGATAATTTCTGTCTCCACTTCCAGTCCCGGCTGCCTAGGCGATTACATCATCAGGCATTCCCTAGGGCTTCTAAGATATCGGCGTCATCAATCCCAGCAATCCTGGGAATGCCTAATACCAAAATCTCACGGTATTATGGGACTGGAAGTGACGCGATCGCGGGGATTTTTTCACACTGCACAGGTGTGAGATCACTCCTTCTTCACACTGCGCAGGTGTGAGATCACTCCTCCTTCACACTGCGCAGGTGCAAGATTGCTCCTTCTTCACAATGTGCAGGTGTGAGATCGCTCCTTCTCCACACTGCGCGGGTGTGAGATCACTCCTTCTTCACACTGCGTAGGTGTGAGATTGCTCCTTCTTCACACTGCGTAGGTGTGAGATCGCTCCTTCACACTGCGCAGGTGTGAGATCACTCCTTCTTCACACTGCGTAGGTGTGAGATTGCTCCTTCTTCACACTGCGTAGGTGTGAGATCACTCCTTCTTCACACTGCGTAGGTGTGAGATTGCTCCTTCTTCACACTGCGTAGGTGTGAGATCGCTTGCTTCTTCACACTGCGCAGGTGTGAGATCGCTGCTTCTTCACACTGCGCAGGTGTGAGATCGCTGCTTCTTCACACTGCACAGGTGTGAGATCGCTGCTTCTTTACACTGCGCAGGTGTGAGATCGCTGCTTCTTCACACTGCGCAGGTGTTAGATCGCTCCTTCTTCACACTGCGCAGGTAGGAGATCGCTCCTTCTTCACACTGCGTGGGTGCGAGATCGCTCCTTCTTCACACTGTGCAGGTGTGAGATCACTCCTTCTTCACACTGCGCAGGTGCGAGGTCGCTCCTTCACACTGCGTGGGTGCGAGATCGCTCCTTCTTCACACTGCGTGGGTGCGAGATCGCCCTTCTTCACACTGCGCGGGGTGCGAGATCGCTCCTTCTTCACACTGTGCAGGTGTGAGATCACTCCTTCTTCACACTGTGCGGGTGTGAGATCGCTCCTTCTTCACACTGCGTGGGTGCAAGATCGCCCTTCTTCACACTTCGCGGGTGCGAGATCGCTCCTTCTTCACACTGCGCGGGTGCGAGATCGCTCCTTCTTCACACTGCGCAAGTGCGCGATCGCTCTTCTTCACACTGCGCGGGTGCGAGATCGCTCCTTCTTCACACTGCGCGGGTGCGAGATCGCTCCTTCTTCACACTGCGCGGGTGCGAGATCGCTCCTTCTTCACACTGCGCGGGTGCGAGATCGCTCCTTCTTCACACTGCGCGGGTGCGAGATCGCTCCTTCTTCACACTGCGCGGGTGAGAGATCGCTCCTTCTTCACACTGCGCGGGTGCGAGATCGCTCCTTCTTTACACTGTGCGGGTGCGAGATCGCTCTTTCACACTGCACAGGAGCGAAAACGGGAAGTGCATGCTGGGTAGCCAGCTGCACAATTTTTTTTTTTTTTTATAACGGAAAGCAAAGGATTCCAAGTACAGGTGATCTCAGCTTTCATTGCCTAAGCTGCCACTCTCACGTGGGTGCCTTTTAGAAAAAAAAATAAGTAAACGGCTGGAACTCCGCTTTAATGGTGCAAGATTGTCATTACAACCTGGAACAATGATGGACCGTATATCTGTTCAAGTTCTCTGCCTCCACTTTGTATAGGTGCAGTGTTTTGAGTCTATAAATCGAAGCGCCACAATGCAGTTTTTAGAGTCCAAAAAGTAGGATTTTATTCCAAACATATATTGAAAGCACAAGCCAGGGCTTGACAAATTTGCTTTGAATCTTGGAACCAGTTTTTTAAATCGGCTGCCCGACACCCCGGAACAGCGAAAGAGAGAGAGAGAGGGCGGAGGGGGTTTAGATATCTGAACGGGAAGGGGGGAGAGGATTAGACATTTCATTAGGAAGGATGGTCAGGATACAATACATAAGAATTCAGGGTGCGGGAATTAGGGATGGAAGGGGGAGAACAGGCACATAATAAAAGAGTAAACACACCAACACACTCTATGCACCATTATAGAGCCTCTCTTCCTCAGCCGTCCCGCCCTGCACACTTTCCCACACTCTGATCTCAGATCGAGCAGGAGGTCAGATGGCTCCAGCACAGGGATGGACTGACAACTCATGGGACCCCCGGGCAATAGGGGATCATGGGGCCCCTGTGTCCTTGCCCAAACTCAAAAAAGCCTATGAAAAAGGTACCAGGGGCATCTCATGGGGCCCACTACTGACCCTGGGCCATCGGGCAGCGCCCGAGTTTCCAAATGGTCAGTCCGCCCCTGCTCCAGCAGTCACATCACTGTGATGTCCCTAGCGCTCGGACCTGATTACCTGAGAAAACTGTTCATGATGTATACCGGGGAGGGGATCAAATCTCTAGATCAGTGGGCTGCGTCCCGGTGCCAGACAGCAAATGGCTGCGCACGCATCAGGATGCAATTTCTAGTCGCCATGGCGACCTGGGGCCTGGGATTTGTCAAGCCCTCGCATAAGCCAACACGTTACGGGGGTCACATAACTCCCCCTTCATCCAGGCTTCAACAAAAAAATAAAACATGTCCACTTTGTAAAGGTGACACACACAACCTGAAGCTGGACTTTTGCAGATTTAATTTGTTGTGTTCTCTCTTCATACAGGAAATCAGATGGGCCGCACTCTGCCTGAACTCATAGAGCAATTTGAATTGGAAAGAGTGAGTTCCCATTCGGCATTCATAGACCTTAGCAATCTTCCAGAGTACAACAGGTAAATGTTATTCATGGTAGGGTGTCAGAGAATCACTACAAGTTAATGTGTAACTTTCCAAAAGATTTTAGGCTACATTACCTCTGCCTTTCACATGGTGCAATTACAGTGCAGAGCATTTTAGTCCACACGGGACGGTTCGATAACGCTGGTAACGTTAGCTGTGTAAAGTCACATTAAGAACGTGAGTTTTTCAGCTTCTTTTAGCGTTTTTGCATTAGCGTTTAGCGTCGTTTTTCTGTGTTTGCGGTTTTTTACCGATAAAAAATTTTTTTTTTTGGGGGGGGGGGGGGGTAAAAAAAACGCAGGTTTGCGGCATTTTGCGCGTTTTTTTTCAGCATTTACAGCTAAAAAACTCCCCTAGAAACCCACTAATCCCTGTTTTTTTTTTTTCCAGCCAAAAAATGTCTCTGCCAAAAAACGTTGATTCAAGTCTGTGTGCATGGACACATAGGATAACATGCTGGGGGGGTTACTGGCTGTAGAAAAAAAAACGTCAAAAGCCAAAAACAGCCGCTGTAAAAACGTCCCGTGTGTATGAGGACACATTTCACAGGCATCACTATGGAAATCACTTTTCCCTGGGATCCACATCAAATATGCACCAAGCAGGATTTGTTTTAAGTGAATTGCTGTAAAATGTAGAGGCTTGAATGCAAGAACAAGAATGTAATATATTGCATTTTAAGGGCTCATGTACACTGCAGCTGATAAACTCACGTTTAGGAACTGTTCAGTGGTTTTTTCAGCAGCCCCTGAACTCTCCCTAATGTTTTCCTATGTGTCCATGTACACATCTTCGTTTACAGTCGTTTTTTTTTTTTAACGCAGAATTTTATTTTTCAGCATTATCAGCATTTCAAATGCATATCGCGTTTATAAGCGTTTGCAAAACTCTTCCATTTCCCGATGCTGTCCAGAGCCTTTTTTCATCATGAAAAATGCATGGAAAGCATTTTCAAGGTACTCAGATGGACAAAACACTGAACACAGGATGTTCCTACCAAGCTTGTCACACATTGGAATGACCAATTCACACCTCAGACCTCTCCCACCCTTGGAAACAAAAGATATGTTAATGATCATTCACACCTCAAATTCCTCATGAAGACCCCCTGCCAGGTGGCCTTAATGACTCCCTCCACCAGACACCTTCCCACCCTTGGAAACAAAAGAAATGTTAATGAGCAACTCACACCTAAGCTAATCTCAACACATACTTCTGTCTCTGCTTCTAAACTCTGTATTTCTCTGCAACAGTCTGAAATAGTTAATAATTTACCACTTTTCAGTGCATTCTGGACATTTGGGAGGTTCTCCTGTGCTTATCTTTAAAAAAAAACGCTTCTAAACATAAACATGTTATGCAAACGCGGCTAAACAGACGTTTTTAACCTACGTTTTCCAGCAGTCAGTTTCTATCGTTCAGAATTGTCCCGTGTACATGGGGCCTAACAGTTCTTAGATGTGGTAGCTGTATTAGTTTTCCTTGTAAGGTTGTTTTGTTGTTTATTTTCACCTGATGATCCTGCCAGTAGCACACCTCCTGTTCTACGGTGTCAACATTCAATTACTGCACCTATTTAGGAGCAACATTGTCACCCTAGCACAAATCTACAAAACACCCCTCTGCCTCTTTTCTGCACCATATCATAAGAGGTAGGAGTTCTGTAGTCCGCTGAGAACCTTTGGAAACAATGATAACTGAAAGCAATCAGCAGAGAGCATGAGAAGTTAGCTTTCTGGCAGGATCCACAAGTTTTATATTACACTTATCCAACAGGCATAACAACACACTTTCGTGGTACATTTCACAGACCAAAAGGCAAAATTGTGCCGCACTAAAGGAGCGCTTCTTGAATGTCTCACATTTTCATTCAAATAGGCAGGGACCAAAAGTAGAATGCACAGGGACCCAATGTAGTGAACTCATAGTACGTCTGCGCTCACTTTTTGGAGCCGTATTTCTTTAAGAAATGACAGCACAAAGGTCAGCATAGTGAATACCTCACACAGACCTTTATAAAGATAATTCTTGTCCTCCCTGCTTTGCAGTGCTCTTAAAAACAATCCGGAATTTCTCCTTTCACAGCCCCAAAGACTGACATTGTGGATCAAGGAAACAATGGATGTATATATGTCACGCTACCTTAGAGCAAGACTCCATCCAAAAAGTTTTCCTTTAGTTTTTGAAGGCTTGAGCAAAGTTTAATTTCCCCTGGATGTTTCTACTACATCACAAGATGTTGGAAGTGGATGAAGCTATAACACTGCGACACGTGAGATGCTGGATATGGAATGATATTAGGATTTTTAAACTACCTGGGATCAGTGTGAGTGGCAACACTGGACCTAGGCTAATGTCACAGTTGTTACAGGCCCTTGTAATATGTGTTTAGTTCAGCCTTTCTGAACCAGGGTGCCTTGAGGTTTCTTCAGGGGTGCCTTGGCAAAATGTCTAAATTGCCCAAAACTTGTATACAAGCCAGCGGGTGGAAGAAGCCTTTTAGTTACACAAAGCCACAGGTGGTGCATTGTGCACCATTACAACCTTCTAGCCGCCAGCGTCCTTTCAGCCAACAGTATCAGTTGATAAGGAGGATGTCAGCTGCCTGCACAGCATCCTAGTTTGCCCCTCCCCTGCCCCTCTCCATCAGTGCTGGGGTCACATTAGCTCAGTGATGGATAAAAAAAAGGGTGCCTGGGGACTGTCCATAATTTTAAAGGGTGCCTCGGGGCTGTCCATAATTTTAAAGGGTGCCTCGGGACTGTCCATAATTTTAAAGGGTGCCTCGGGACTGTCCATAATTTTAAAGGGTGCCTCAAGACTGTCCATAATTTTAAAGGGTGCCTCGGGACTGTCCATAATTTTAAGGATGCCTCAGGACTGTCCATAATTTTAATGGGTGCCTCGGGACTGTCCATAATTTTAAAGGGTGCCTCGGGACTGTCCATAATTTTAAAGGGTGCCTCGGGACTGTCCATAATTTTAAAGGGTGCCTCGGGACTGTCCATAATTTTAAAGGGTGCCTCGGGACTGTCCATAATTTTAAAGGGTGCCTCAAGACTGTCCATAATTTTAAAGGGTGCCTCGGGACTGTCCATAATTTTAAAGGGTGCCTCGGGGCTGTCCATAATTTTAAGGGGTGCCTCAAAACTGTCCATAATTTTATTGGGTGCCTCAAGACTGTCCATAATTTTAAAGGGTGCCTCGGGACTGTCCATAATTGTAAAGGGTGCCTCAAAACTGTCCATAATTTTATTGGGTGCCTCAAGACTGTCCATAATTTTAAAGGGTGCCTCGGGACTGTCCATAATTGTAAAGAGCGCCTCGGGACTGTCCATAATTTTAACTACCTGCCGACCGCAGATAGCCGAATGACGGCTGCACTGCGGCCGGCCAGTTCTGAGTGGGACGTCATATGACGTCCTCCCAGAACGCGCTCTCCTGCGCGCCCCAGGGGGCGCGCACCCAGCGATCTCCGTGATCGCTGTGTCCTACGGACACAGCTGATCACGTGATGTGGTAAAAGGCCAATCACAGCGGCCTTTTACCACGTGATCAGCGGTGTCCAATGACACGCTGATCAGAGGGAAATGCAAGTGCCGGTTCTCGGCTGCACTTTCCTCACGCTGTCAGATCGTGAGGAAAGTACTGCCGAGAACCGGCAGTTGTCAGAGCGGGGATCGGCACCGATCATCAGGGCACTGATGATCAGTGCCCTGATGATCGGTGCCCAGCAGTGCCACCCTCAAGTTCCGCCCACCTGTGCCCAGCAGTGCGCCCACTAGCTCCGCCCACCTGTGCCCAGCAGTGCACCCACCTGTGCCCAGCAGTGCACCCACTTGTGCCACTCTGCAGTGTCACACACCTGTGCCCAGAAGTGCCACACACCTGTGCCCAGCAGTGCCACCCACCTGTGCCCACCAGTGCCACCCACCTGTGCCCACCCACCAGTGCCACCCACCAGTGCAGCCCAGCAGTGCTGCCAGTCAGTGCCACCAGTCAGTGCCCAGGGGTTGTGCCAGTCAGTGCCGCCAGTCAGTGCCCAGCAGTGATGCCAGTCAGTGCCGTCTATCAGTACCCATCATCAGTGTCACCTATCAGTGCCGCCTATCAGTGCTGCATATCAGTGCCGCCTATCCGTGCCACCTCATTAGTACTGCCTATCAGTGCCCTTTAGTGCTGCCTATCAGTGCCCATCAGTGCCGCCTATCAGTGCCCATCAGTGTTGCCTCATCAACGCACATCAGTGAAGGAGAAAAAATACCTGTTTGAAAAGTTTTATAATAGAAACAAAGAAACTTTTTTTTTTTTTTTTTCAATTTTTTTGCATTTTTTTTATTTAATGCGCAAAAAGTAAAGTGCCCAGTGGCGATTAAATACCACCAAAAGAAAGCTCTATTTGTGAGAAAAAAATGATCAAAATTTCATATGGGTACAATGTTGCATGACCGCGCAATTGTCAATCAAAGTGCGGCAGCGCTGAAAGCTGAAAATTGGCCTGGTAAATAAGGGGGTATAAGTGCCCGGTAGGCAAGTGGTTAAAGGGTGCCCCAAGACTGTCCATAATTTAAAGGGTACCTCAGGACTGTCCATAATTCATAATTTTAAAGGGTGCCTCGGGACTGTCCATAATTTTAAAGGGTGCCTCGGGACTGTCCATAATTTTAAAGGGTGCCTCGGGACTGTCCATAATTTTAAAGGGTGCCTCGGGACTGTCCATAATTCATAATTTTAAAGGGTGCCTCGGGACTGTCCATAATTGTAAAGGGTGCCTCGGGACTGTCCATAATTTTAAAGGGTGCCTTGACTGAAAAAAGGTTGAGAAACACTGATTTAGTTGTCTGCAAACCCTAAATTAGAATAGAGCCTGCAGAGCAAAGCCTTTATGGACACTACTTAACGGATAAAGGGTAGGATTTAGTTCGGGGGTCATGTACACTGTATGAACATCATGTCTAATCATAATGACCATTTACAGCAAATCCTTTTTGATGGTTGACCGTTTCATCTTTCTGTTAGGATTCATCTATCCAAGAGGATTGATAACATGGAAAGCCGGGCAGAGCTGATCACACAACTCCAGACTCTACTGCAGGAAAAATACAAAGACGTGACATTTAATAAAGAGTATATTGAGAGGATACTGATGTTGAGGAAGGTGAATTGAATTGTATTTTGCAAACTATGAAGACATTTCAGACCATGCTGATTGCAACTTTTAAAGGTTTTTTTTTATTTAAAGTGAATCAGTGTTCATTTTCAAACTACAATGCCACCAGAAGACATAAAGAGCAGGCACCCAGAAGCTCCTGCATGTACTTCTAGTTCCCCAAGAGGCTCTCAAACATGCATATAGCAACTTTAGTTCCTGAAGTTCCTTTGCGGCTCACTATTGGTCAATTGCTTTGGTGTGCAGCTTCATGGGTCAATGATGAAATGCATTTTCCAGGTGCTGCAGTATGTTACAGTTATTATTATTATTATTATTATAATACAGGATTTATATAGCGCCAACAGTTTGCTCAGCTCTTTACAATATAACGGGAGACAATACAGCAACAATACAGTTTAATACAAGAGGGATAGGAGGGCCTGATCCTTGGAGCTTACAATCTAAGCGATCTTACAGTCTTGTCCTCTGACAGTGGAAGGTCAGTCAGTGTTGCTTAGGGTGTGGTTGCCATCATCCCGATTTTCATACAAAGATAATTTTTTACCTTTACATTTTTGTGGGATTTTTAAGGCAACTGTGAAACATATACAAAGAAGTCACTTGTTAAAAGATCAACATTTTATTTTAACAAAAAAATTGTTTTTGTTTTGACACATTGAAGTCCATCAGATAGGCAGTGCATACGTGACCAATATCAGAAGTAATGGTTTATAACAAAGCATTTACTCAGACAGTAGGGGACAAATGACAGATATTGGTCCCTTTGTGGAAGATCAATGGGATGAGACACTTCAGGCAATACCCCAATGCTCCCTTGATGTGACACAAAAGCTTATGCAACTGTAAATAGTATTGAGGGGACACTTTACCCCAGCCAGGTTATATAAAATGGGTGTTTTGAATTTTCCTACCTGTGGTAGATGCTCCAGGGACCATGGGGATCTAATTCACTTATTCTGGCGATGGCCCAAATTACACATCTATTGGGCAGGGGTGGTGCATACCATACCATGTTCCAAATCTCCATTCCCACTGTCCCTAAATCTTGTCTACTGGGCATCTTAGATCAGTGGTTCTCAACCTCCCTAATGCCGCGACCCCTTAATACAGTTCCTTATGTTGTGGTGACCCCCAACCATAAAATTATTTTCATTGCTACTTCATAACTGTAATTTTGCAGTGGGAGGAGTAGTGCCATGTCATTGGTGTCAGTGGAAGGAGTAGTGCCCCATCACTGATGTCAGTGGGATGAATAGTGCCCCATTGTTGGTATCAGTGAGAGGAATAGTGTCCCATCATTGGTATCAGTGGGAGGAATAGTGCCCCATCGTTGGTATCAGTGGGAGGAATAGTGCCCCATCACTGATGTCAATGGGAGGAATAGTGCCCCATCGTTGGTATCAGTGGGAGGAATAGTGCCCCATCACTGATGTCAGTGGGATGAATAGTGCCCCATCACTGGTGTCAGTGGGAGGAATAGTGCCCCATCGTTGGTGTCAGTGGGAGGAATAGTGCCCCATCGTTGGTGTCAGTGGGAGGAATAGTGCCCCATCGTTGGTGTCAGTGGGAGGAATAGTGCCCCATCGTTGGTGTCAGTGGGAGGAATAGTGCCCCATCGTTGGTGTCAGTGGGAGGAATAGTGCCCCATCGTTGGTATTAGTGACACAAATGATGGGGCACTATTCCTCCCACTGACACCAATGATACTTACTTTGCTGACCCCTGCTCCAGCCTGGGCTCGCTCTCTCACTTACCTGTCAGCTGTCTTCCTTCTCTGGCCGCTCTCCTCTTCACTCGCTCCGGCAGCTCCCTCGGTCTTCTTTGATGTACGCGCGCTGCCGCTCGGCTCCTCCTCTCCAAGCTCCACCTCCTCGCCGGTGATTGGCCGCCTGTGTGCCTCTCCTGAGCTACAGTTCCGGTGGCCAATCAGCGGCGAGGAGGCGGAGCTGCTGAGCGATCCCGGAGGTGTGGCCAGGTGACAGGAGCAGCGTATCATCCCGCCCACACATCGCCGGAGACAGCAGCGGTGTCTCGGTTCCTAAGACCATCGGAAATATGTGTTTTCCGATGGTCTTAGGCGACCCCTGGGAAATGGTCGTTCGACCCCCAAAGGGGTCGCGACCCCCAGGTTGAGAACCGCTGTCTTAGATGATTTGCAACTACCGCCTCTTACCAGGGAGGCAGTTGCGAAAGATCTTTTACAGGCTCGGAGAGTTATACTACGGCATTGGAAATCATCTGAGCCCCCCCCCCACATATATATATATTCTTTTACAATAATAAGTTTGATGTTATTTTAATTTAAATGTATCGTAACTATTGTATTTTTATGCTTGTATTAAATTAAAAATCCTCTTCTTTTGCCTTTTCAGGGACACCTGTGTTTGCTCACAGATTTCCTGTCTCCAAATTACTCCTATTTGTGGATTCGGCCCTCTGTACACCTCAAAGATCTGCACAGCTTGTCAAGTGAGGCTACTGAGATCGGGAGTCTGGTTGTGGGGTGTGTATATTTCTTAGTCCTGTGGGTTTCATTATTGAGTGGAACCAATGATCTTTCATGGTTCAAATTGCAACACTAAGGCCTCATACACACTGGACATTTTTAACGCTCCTAGGGGTGGCTGCCTTTTTTTTTTCTGCCTCTTAAGGCCCCTCTGTTAACCTATGTGTCCATGCACACATAGGCATTTAGAAGCAGAAAGAAAACCCCACTGCCAGCATGTTCAGTAGCAGTGCAGTTTTGGCAGAAAAAAACACTTGACACATGTAAACGTGTCTCAGCGCACGTTAACGCTTAGCACTTGAATGTTAATTCATTTCAGTGGTCAGAATAAATTCCTATTCTGGCTAATGAAATGAATAGCAAGCCCTGCTGCCTTACACGTGCTACACAAGTGTAAAGGGTCAGCTGTTTGCTCTGCCAAAATGCCGCTGCCAGGAGGAAAGGCGTCTAGGAGAGAAAGCAAAACATCCTAAATGGAAACCTCATAGGTTGAGTATAGATATTGTACCTATTGGAGATAGCGTCCCAGTCTATAGAGTGGCTGTTCAGGATTTCATTTGGGAGTAATGTAGAAGCAGCCAGCTTTGTTCATCTTGAATGACATATTTCTTGTGTTATTTTCATATTTGTGTGTATGCACTTGTTCTCCAGCTTGTAAGCATTTTGTGGTTTGACATGTATTCTAAATGATAAAGAGTTAAGAGCATAGGGCCTGTTGCTGGCTTTTTCTGCAAATGTTAGTTGCCTGGCAGTCATGTTAATCTTCTGGTTTGACTAATTTAAGTTACTAATACAAAACAGGTATGCAGCTGAGGACTTCTTACTTCAATTGTTTGACTTTCCCGATCTTCATACTTGTTATAATTCAATGACTTAGAAAGTATTTAAGCCAAAGGATCAGTCTGTAAGCCAGCAATTGGCACATACATCCATAAGGACACTAGCAAAGGAAGCCCCTGTGTTTCTCTTATGAAGGGTTTGCTTTAAAGTGTATTTAACCACCTCCCACCCACCATATAGTAATATGACGGATGCAAGGTGGTTCTCTCATTCTGGGAGGACGTCATATGACGTCCTCCCATTCTACCCGCGCATGCGCGGCTCCCGGAGTGCGGCGATCGGTGGTGCGCTATGTCCCTTGGACACAGCGGATCACCGATCCACGGAAAGAGCCGAAGATGTCGGCTTGGTCATGTGATCAGCTGTGTCCAATCACAGCTGATCACATGTAAACAGGGAAATTCCGGTTATCGGCATTTTTCTCCTCTGGAGCTGCCATGCTGACAGAGGAGAGGAGAGCCGGTAATCGGCATTCCGCGGAGGGGACAGTGTGCCCCGATGATCAGTGTATCCCCAGCAGTGCCACCTGTCAGTGTCAGCTGTCAGTGCTCATCAGTGCCACGTGCCAGTGCCCATCAGTGCCACATATCAGTACCTACCAGTGCACATCATGCCACATATCAGTGCCCATCTGAGCTGCCTTTCAATGTCACCTCAGTTCCACCTATCAATGCCAATCAGTGCCATATTTCAGTGCCACCTATCAGTGTCCATCATCAGTGCAGCCTATCAGTGCCCATCACTGCAGCCTTATTAGCGCATATCAGTGAAGGAGAAAAATCACTTATTTACAAAATTTTATAACAAAAACTAAGAAAAAACATTTTTTTTTTTCAAAATTTTCAGTGGTTTCTGGTTTAAGAAAAAATAAAAAACCCAGAGTTGATTAAATACTATCAAAATAAAGCTCTGTCACAAAAAAGATAAAAATTTCATATGGGTACAGTGTTGCATGACCGCGCAATTGTCATTCAAAATGTGACAGTGCTGAAAGCTGGAAATTGGCCTGGGCAGGGCAGGAAGGGGGTATAAGTGCCCTGTAGGCGAGGGGTTAAAGGTGAAGCCTTTGTAGACTTGGGCACAGTGGGAGAGGTTGTAACTCCTCTTTTTTGTTTGCCTCATCTGGGAGATTGTCTTTGCTTTCTGTCCCAAAGACACAACAGGAAGGGAGTAGAAATCTCTCCTCAGTGAGGGGGAAACCTGTGTTAGATATCAGATATGGTGTCCCAATTAAAATATTTACCTTCTAATCTTGTTGGAATAACCATTGTAATTTATTGGATTGATCATTATTCTCTTTCCCAGTAACAATGGTCGCAAAATCTCCTCAATGGGGACATAGAGAGCAAGTGTTTCCACACTATACTTTAACCACTTCCAGTTCGGACACTTTCACCCCCTTCCAGTCCAGGCCAATTTTCAGCTTACAGCGCTATCACACTTTGAATGACAATTGCGCGGTCATGCAACACTGTACCCATATGAATTTTTTAGCATTTTTTTGAGACAGCTGAAACTTTATTTTTGGTGGTATTTATTCACCACTGGGATTTTAATTTTTTTGCTATATAAATGACAAAGTCCAAACATTTTGAAAAAAAGTTTTTTTCTTTTAACATTTTTGCAAATAATCTTTCTTCATAAATCTTGGCCAAAATGTATTCAGCTATATTTTTAGTAAAAAAAATAACCCAAATTAGTTTATAACCAAAAATTATAATTTTTTTTATTTTTCTTTTACATTTTAATTTTTTTAAATTTTTTTTTTTAACATACTGTCACTATAGTGACATTGTACTACTTGCGGGGGTTGATGAAGATTTTTTTTTTCTTTTTTTTACACCCATAAAGGCTGTAAAGCCAATCATTTCTCCTTGTCTCTGTGTGAGCTGTGATTGGTCACAGCTTGTCACATGGTACAAGGCTGTTGTGAATAGCCCTGTACCATGTGACCTCTGTGATCATTCACAGATTTCAAAAGTATTAAGCAATGATGTCAGGAAGTGACATCTTACTTACTACTATTCATGTGATCACTGATTGGCCAATCAGTGATCACATGAATCGGGACCTCACACAGAGGTCCCGTACAGCAATCGGTGTCCCAGGGAGTGTGCACAGGCAGTGAACGCGGGTAACATTTAGAAACGTCAACCCGCTTCGGCAGCGCGCCTGTCTGGGCCAGGCAGGAAGTGGTTAATTACTTTATTCATCTATGAATATAATGAATGTTGCAAGTAATGGCTTTCCGATGTACAGGGTCCTCAGATGTACATGGAGCAGGATCACATACATTAAGGAACGGTCCTAATTTGCACTTTTTTCTTTATAGGATTTTAGAAAAAAGCCACAATGACATGAATGTGGAAACATTAAACAAAGATCTCAAACTCCATCTGCAGCAGCTGAAAGCCACAAAGTACAGTGTATCTATGAAACTTCTACGCAGGATTCTAAGTGGTTTGGAGGTAAGTCTTTCCACTTCCATCTTCCTTTAACCACTTCCCGACCGGCGGTTGCATATAAACGGCCGGACGGTGGCACTGCAGGGTCGGGTGGCCGTTTATAAACGGTATCCCCGCACCCTGCTTGTGCGCGCTCCCTGGGAGCGCGCAGCACCGCGATCCGGTGCCCGCTGTGTCCTCCGGACACAGTGAAACACCGATCGTCGGACGGGACCTCTGTACGAGGTCCCGATCATGTGATCACTGATTGGCCAATCAGTGATCACATGCAAAGTAGTAAGCAAGATGTCACTTGTGACATCATTGCTTACTATGTGTGAAATCTGTGAATGATCACAGAGGTCACATGGTACAAGGCTATTCACAACAGCCTTGTACCATGTGACAAGCTGTGACCAATCACAGCTCACTCAGTACTTCTCAATGACTACAGGAATGCAGACAGAGAGAAAGAGAAATTATTGCTTTTACATCCTATATGGGTGTAAAAGCAATCAGTGTAAAAAAAAAAAAAAAACTTCATCACCCCCCACAAGTAGTACAGTGTCACTATGGTGACACTGTACTGCTAGGGTGACAGTATGTAAATAAAAAATAATATAAAAATGTAAAAAAAAAAAAAAGTTTAAAAATTATAATTTTTGGTTATAAACTAATTTGGATTTTTTTTTTACTAAAAAGATAACGGAATACATTTTGGCAAAGATTTATGATGAAATATTATTTATTTGCAAAATTTTATAAAAAAAAACACTTTCAAAATTTTTGGACTTTTTCATTTACATAGCAAAAAAAATAAAAATCCCAGCGGTGAATAAATACCACCAAAATAAAGCTTTATCTGTGTCAAAAAAATGGTAAAAATTCATTTGGGTACAGTGTTGCATGACCGCGCAATTGTCATTCAAAGTGTGATAGCTCTGAAAGCTGAAAATTGCCCTGGTCAGGATGGGGGCAAAAGTGTCCGGTCTGGAAGTGGTTAAAGCCTAAGCCTGCTCTTGTTATACCCCTCCCCAATTATTATTAAACACGAAAAATACTTCTGGCTGCAATACTTGCTTCCTCTCCAGTGCTGAAATCCCATTCTGCCACTAACTGTCCTTAGTCTGGAGGGTTGAATGGTGCCCAACATCATTCAGTCCTGAAAGACTGAGGACATACTGTGAGTACAGGGAGCCATAGCCCACCCCTGAGGAGTATCACCACTGTTCATTCTGCATCATTGAGGACCACTCACTTCCTCATCAATACTTCTCTAGACAGAGGACCCTGCATGTCATGTGACTAGCCCGAAAGACCTATATACATGGAGGCTACCATTGTGGACCTCTTTCTAAACATGGTAGCCACCTGTCTGTCTCTGAATTCAAAGTGGTTGTAAACCCTTACATATACCCAGTGAAGTGACTGGCCTCTGGTGATACACAGAGATGCAACAAATCTTCCTACATAAGTTGTACCTGTCTATCTGCAGTCTGCTCTTCCCTACATCTGTTCAAAGTGCTGAGTTTATAAAGCTTGTCTGAGAGTTCCAGAAAAAGAGGGCGGAGAGCTAAAATTATACCCTGCACACCCCAGTGAGTAGAGCTCTGAGAACTGTTTTTTTTTTATTCTTCTATGGTTTGGTTTCTGTAACTGTGTTACTGGCAGTTAAAATTAATGGCAGTCTCTAGCATCCCTTTTGTAGTCATGTATGTGTGTGCAATAATGGTGACAATTTGGTAGAACCTGAACACAGAAAAGTCATAATGAAGAAGGGAAGGTTGTTAAAATTTTTTAGGGAGCATATACTGTATGCAATACAAAGAGAAAACAAATCTGGCCATAAGTTCCTTGAATTGGGGTGGATGTCTCTTGTATAATTTAGCATCTGGTATAAGACAGGGGAATGTTCATTTGCAGATGGAATACTGAATGTTCATTGCCCAGTGATGAAGGGTTTGTGTTCTCTTTCCTTAGGTTGGTCCCAGTGTAGCAGAGATGATGCTGGCTTTGGGTCCTCAGGAATCTATAGTACGGATACAAAATGCTCTGTCTAGCTGAGGAGAGGATATTTAAATTGCCTGGATCCAAAGTGCCAATATTACATGTCCGCTGTGTTTCTGTGTACATGAGGAGAACAAGGCTAAGTACGGCGTTCTTACAATTGCACTAACACAGCCACCTGTTAGCATGGAGACAAATCTGTTCAATGGAACATATGTGGACCACTTTGTACATACTGTTTTTGTAATTAAATATCTGAAATCCAAAATATCAAGTGTCTTATTCTGTGTTTAACCATCGCCTGCCATATAAGGAAATGACAGGTGCAAGGCGGCTCTCTCGTTCTGAGAGGACGTCATATGACGTCCTCCCACTCTTAACTGCGCACCCTGGGACACAGCAGATCAAGGGAAAGAGCCAAAGACGTCGGCTCAGTCTAGCGATCAGCTGTGTCCAATTACAGCTGACCGCATGTAAATAAGGAAATGCCGTTTATCAGCATTTCTCTCCTCACGAGGTGTCACGCTGACAGCTCATGAGGAGAGCCAGTAATCGGCATTACTCAGAGGGGATATGTACACTGATCATCAGTGTGCCCTGATGATCAGTGTAGCCCCATCAGTGCACATCAATGCTACATATCAGTGCCCATCGGAGCTGCCTTTCAGTGCCAGTCAGTGATGCCTGTCAATGCCCATCACTGCAGTCTCTTTAGCGCACATCAGTGAAGGAGAAAAATCACTTATTTCCAAAATTGTATAACAGGAACTAAGAAAAAAAACATTTTTCTCAAACTTTTCAGTTTTTGGTTTGTTTAGCAAAAAATAAAAACCCAGAAGTGATTAAATACCACCAAAAGAAAGCTCTCTCAAAAAAAATGATAAAAATGTCATATGGGTACAGTGTTGCATGACCGTGCAATTGTCATTGAAAGTGCGACAGAGCTGAAATTGGCCTGGGCAGGAAGGGGGTCTAAGTGCCCTGTAGGCAAGTGGTTAAACTAGGTTACTGCAGCACAAGGTCTAAAGGGGCCCTTAAAGTGGAACTTTTGGGTAATAAATAAAAAAAAAGGGTGGACAGGCAGGCTTTTTTAACATAGAAGAGATATGCTTTGTCTCTTTTGCATTAAAAAAGCTAAATCTACCCGCCTGCCCACCCCTGTACAGTGAGCCGTGCAGCTCAATGTACAAATTTGGCAATGTCGAATTTGACGGAACTCTTGTGAATGCCAATGACAGCGGCCGGTGTTCAGGACCCAGCAGGGAGCTCTGGGATGGCGCATCGCGGGATCAGAGGCAAGTATAGTTCCGCTTTAAATTGAGGATCTGTTTGAAAGTATTATTATTATACAGGATTTATATATTATTATTACTATACAGGATTTATATATTATTATTGTTTTATACAGGATTTATATATATATTATTATTATTATATTACAGGATTTATATATACAGTTTGCTATTATTATTACTATACAGGATTTATATATACTATACAGGATTTATATTATTATTATGCAGCACTTTACAATTATACAGGGATACAGTACAATTACAATACATTTCAGTACAGAAGGAATAGAAGGGCCCGGCTCGTGGAGCTTACAATCTAAAGGAAGGGGGAGGTGATACAAAAGGTGATAGCTGTGGGGGATGATCTGGTGGAGGTGATTCAAGTACAGTTCTTAGGTGGAGGTAGGGTAGGCTTCCCTGAATATGTGAGTTTTCAAAGATCACCTAAAAAGGTAGACAGGGTGGGGGTTAACCAGCTGACATTTTTTCATCTAATTCATTACAGTGGGGGAATAAAAAAGCAGTTACTTTGCAATCAAGTAGTTTTTGTTTTTCATGAGCCCTGTGATTTAGTATGCATAGAGAAGAAGTGCGCTCTGCAACTGACTTTTTCAGATGAAACTGGCTCTGTGGAAGTTGTGTGTTCCCAATAGGACAAAGCAGCCGTGACAGATATCTCCTTGTGACAGGAAGCATAATTGCTGCAATGTCCTTCATTAAATGCAGGATGCAGAAGAGAGGGAAGGGGGAGAAAATGGAAAAGTACAGCAAGCACCAGAGATATAAAACAGGTGAGGCTAAAGTTGTGCTCTAGAATTTGCATTTGTTTTGCTTTAGATACGACGACATACAGGGCCCATTCCAGTTAGTTACAGTCACTGTACTTCGACCAAAGCACAAACAAACCAGTTGGGTGCAAGGAATTATATTTATTTACATGTTAAGAAAACCATTTCACTTTCTTTTTACATACACCGAGTGGTAGATTCCTGTAAATTATGGATCCCCGATGATTTCTAGAAGTGACAAAGTCTTAAGGTCCATTCACACTTGTATTAAGGCAACCTATATATTTTTTACTGCAACACGATATACGTTCATTAACACAATATAGTGTGAATGGGCCCTCTGTGTTTTTTATTTTCAGCGATAGACGCAGTTCTCAAATTCTGGTTTCTGAAGCCATTCTGAAGTCCACATTGGCGATCACTCAAGGGGGGTTGGTTGAAGGTTATCCTTCTTGTACTTGTCCATTAGAATCAAGCCATTTACAGCAAGACGGCGGCAGCCTTCATTTGGATCTTTCTCAGCCACATCTGTAAGGTAGGATGACTGTGCTTAGAATGAAAATATAGATGCAAAAAATACTTGTTTCATTCATTAGGTCAGACACACTGAAGAAGTCTTGGTCTTCCATGTTATCTGCAAATGACAGTTAAGAGAAGTATGGCCAAAGATATTTTGGCTATACTTCTATGGATCACAGGAGTGATTTCATTCTCCATTCCTGTCACCTGTTTTCAACCAACAGTGGGCTAAAGCCTGATGTCCGCTGATGTCACTCAGCCGGTCCGGGCTCTGGAAAGATCCCAATTTCCCAGGATCCACCCAGATGCCTGGACTGGCAGTTGCTCTGAACCCCTCCTCAGCCTGATGCTCCACTGTGTGCTGGAGGGAAAGTGCAGAGAGCTGGTGACTGACAGTCCCCATCTCTCTGCTCACTGAAAGCTAAGAACTGAGTGATCAACGGTCTTTGATTGCTCAGTTCTCAGTCTGAGAAGCAGTGGAGGATCGAAACCCATACTTATCTTTTGAATATGAACAAACCTGACTATTTAGTTCTTACTAAAAGACCTTTTAAACAAAAAAGTGCCCAAATATGCAAAGCATGCTTATGCAAATAGTATAGCTGAGTAAGCAGGGCTTCATAAGCTGCTGGGGGCACACAGCATAGAAACAAAGATGCCTACTTAAAAGCTTATACAGTCTGCTATTTGCTAGCACTGTTTATTTGGGCATTTATTTAGCTGATGTTACCCCAAGTAAACACCCCATGTCACACTTTAAAATTGCGCATACCCAGCGACAGATGATGTAAATTTTACTATTTATAGGCGTCGCTTTAAAAGCCTTTAAAGGTTAACACTTCAGATTTACAGAGGAGGTCTGGTGCTAGAATTACTGCCCTTGATCTGCCATTTGCAGCGATACTTACATGTGTGGGATGATCGCTGTTTGCGTACGTACAGGACCAACACGAACATTTGCCTTTGCACGCAAGCCTGGGCAGATTTTTTTTTTTTTTTTTGTTTAGTTTTTTTACACTGTTCCTTAGAGAAAAAAAAAAAAAAAGATCACTTTTATTGCCGTCACAAGGAATGTAAACATCCCTTGTGACAGCAATAGGCATGTCCATTTGGAAACTCGGGCACTGCCTGGGGTCAGTAGGGGGCCCCATGAGATGCCCCTGGTACCTTTTTCATAGGCTTTTTTGAGTTTGGGCAAGGACATAGGGGCCCCATGATCCTCTATTGCCCGGGGGCCCCATGAGTTGTCAGTCTGCCCCTGGTGACAAGTACTCTTTATGGAGGGACCTGGGGTCAATAAGACCCCAAATCCCTCTCTGCCCTTAAAAGCATTTAATCACACCAAGACCAGTGTGATCAAATGTTTTACTTTTTTAAAAATGGGACTGTTTATTTCCGAGTAAACCGTAAGTGATGTAAGGTCATCGCTTCCATCACTTCCAGGTTACTATAGCATAGAGCCAAACAAAGCCGATCTTGGTCTTTGTTCGGCACCATGATCAGGCTGGTCGATCATGACTCCCAGTGGGACAGGAGATCCCGGTAAAGCCGTGGGGGGACATCCCCTCCCACTGCTTGTAATAGCAATCAAGCGGCTAGCTAACCATTCCGATTGCTAGTACAACAAAGCCAACCGTCACCTCTTTAAAAAAAAAAAAAAATGGTAGCAGACATCATCCCGGTATAGCAGCTCAAACTCCAGCTGAAGCTGAAGTGGCTATTCCTGGGAATACTGATTCCTGAATGGGGGAGTCTGTGTTCAATATAATCAGCTGATGCACTTTCAGTGTTCTAATGAGGAAAGTTTCAGTGTCTCTTTCCTTTTAAAAGTAATTAATCCTTAGGAAGCATCTCATTCCTATTGTCGAAAATACCAAAAAAAAAAAAAAATGTTACTTGTAGCTTAGTGCAGCCTTCTGGGAAAAACAGGAAGTTACATTTCTGAGGATGATTGTTAAACATTTCTCACCTGCTAACCAGCATTTCATTTCCAGGACCTCTTCTGCCATATCAGTCATAAGCCTCTCCCAGGGAACACTCAGCAGTACAGTGGACACACAGAAGAGAAGACCTTGTCTGACAAAACTGTACAGAACACATGACAATGATCACAGCCAGTAGAAGTGAGGAACACCTAGCAGAGCCTGAATAAATGGGTACTAAGAGGGAGGGACCTCTCACTCTCCTTGCAGTCCCGAAGCTTTCCCCAGCTTAGGATCCATTCTGGGTAAGAGGCCCAGCTCTGCAGACAATGCCCTCTGCTTCCATTGGTCTCCCATCGCTCAGCAGTAAATTGGATCTGTTTTCCTGCGCCCCTGGGTCTGTCTGCAATGCTTCTCCCCTCTGATTGGCTGCAGCATTGTATTTGAGCATAGCAAGCCCAGGGCTCTGGACTTGTGATAGGGATTGGTACCAGGCTCCTGTACCCTTGTCATCTCTGAATTCCCTGTTACTAACCCCTTTCCTGGATAACGGGTTAGTTTTTTGATGGCTACCTGCCCTGACCCTTGCCTGGACAACAGACTGCCACTGCAAGCTGCTTGTCTGTCCTGATCACTGCAAGCTGGCCGCCCAGACAGACAGTCACTAGTCTCATCCCTTCCTACCTACGGTACCTGACTTGAAACCTTTCTATGGTGCAAAGCCATCTGACGTTATGCAAATTCTTTCTGAGGTTTGCTGGGCAGCATCTGGGTCCTGTCATTATAGCACTTTGCCTCCAGTCCTAAGGAAAGAGTCCATCCTTATTCCTGTTTTCTACTCTGTTCTTAAAGTGACATTCCTATTTAGTTTGCATCTCCAAAATGTGTGAGCATTACCCAGGGTGCTCTGCATGCCAACGCAGCCTGACTAGGAATGCCCACTCCTCTAGGCACCTGCCCATGAAGACATTTTGCATAACTTCTTGGAGTATTAAGGCAGGGTGTTGTGATGTTTTCATAATCATGGCGCCCTTTATATAATAATACCCACACCTATTTGATTGATGGAATAATTGCTTATACTCCACTATACCCGATTGGGGTTTCTGGTTTATTGTTTACTACATTATTGGTCAATGTATTATTATGTGGCTATATATTCCATGACTTTGATTGTGTTGCTACAACTCATGTGGGTGGGTTATGTTTTCTATATTTCTGTATACTGTTTTTACAGATTTTCAATAAAAATATTGAAATATAAACATAGCACCCTGCCAGCCGCTCCCAACAGCCATGATCTGCCTGCGTTGCACAGAGACCTAATGATAACATCACTGGGTATTAAATAAAGTATGCGATGAAAATAGCAAGTTTTTATTTAATCATTTCATTGGCACGTTGATGAGGAAGGAAGGGAGGCGAAACCTAGGCAGACTAAACTTCAGCTTTAAAGTGGTTATAAACCTGACATGAAACAGGAGCAAAGCTTATCCCTCTATAATGTGTATTTGTCTCAATCCAGAGCATTAAGAGCTGTTGCCTCTGTCTGTTCAAGTCACTTCTGACAAGAGAAAAAGGGTGACGGGATGGTACAGGCTGTGACTGACAGACTCAGCTCTGTTTCTGTCTGCTGTGTAGAGGGGGCTGTGCACCTTCCATCCAATCAGCTCTCAGAGATCTCTTCACTGAGCTCTGCAGAGTGTAATTTCAGCTCTCCACCCCCTGCTTTCTAGAAGCTTTAAAAAGCTGTAGAAGTTCTGCACTTTGAACAGATGTAGAGAAGAAAAGGATACAGATAAACAGGTACAACTTATGTAGGAGGATTGGTTTCATCTCTGTGTATCACCTGAGGCCAGTCACTTCACTGGATATATGTAAGGGTTTATAACCACTTTAAGACTTTTCAGGTTTACACTGCTGTCTGAGTCTCTTTTGAAGAGATTTCCCCTCATGTCCCTGACTGTTTATAACCTTTCCCATCATCTAAAACTACAAACAAAATTCTGCTTTAACATTGCGATAACGATTGGAAATCCCAGATTCCATAAAGCTGGCATACTCACGGGTCAGTATGATAGTGGAGGACCCAAACAAACTCCAGCAGCGCTTTCCCCATTTGGGAGACCACCTACAAAACAGAACCATGATACTTTTTTTTTGTTGGGGGGGAATGCATATTTATCTTTTATATATAATTTTCTTTGTAAATCCTGCAAATATTCAAATACTGTAAACAAACAATCTCTATGATCTGCGGTATTAATACTGACAGCTGAGTGATCATTGGAAGACCACCCCACCCTCCCTCTCTCAACACGGATGATACATCCTGACTATCAGCAGAGCCTGCCAATATGTATGTAAGCTGGGCAGCACAGCGGCTAAATGGTTAGCACTTCCGCCTGGCAGTACTAGGGTCACTGGTTCGAATCCCAGCCACAGCACCACCTACCTGGAGTTTGCATATTCTCCCTGTGCGGGTTTCCTCCGGGTACTCCGGTTTCCTCCCACACTCCAAAGACATGCTGGTAGGTGAATTGGATCCTGTCTAAATTGTCCCTAGTATGTGTATGTATGAATGTAAGTTAGGGACCTTAGATTGTACGCCCCTTGAGGGTTAGGGACTGATGTGAATGTACAATATTTATGTAAAGTGCTGCGTAAAATTGATGGCGCTATAGAAGTGCCTGAAATAAATAAAGTAGTGCCGGGATTTCTGATTAAAAGTGTGCTCTGCAAACTGTCAAGAAACATTTGATAAATGAGGATTTTAACGAATTCTCAAATATAAAAAAATGCAAGTTTATAAACTTAAAACAAAATTAAAAAAATATAAATTGAGCCCAATAACCATGTGTGATGTGTTACAGATAAAAATTAAATATTGGCTCTATGGATCAGCCAACATTCACGGCTTTAAAGTAGAACTCCAGGCAAATGGCTAAATAAACTAATGAAATACATATAATGGATTTGTATTTTTGTCCCTCCTGTCCTCAGATTAACAAAACTCTGACATGAAGCATAATCCTGTTTGAAGGGTTGACAACCTGATTTTTTTTCTGCTGAGGTCATGTAACACTTACGGGTCTTATCCCTCCCCCAATCTCTGACTGCACAGTAAAAGGAGAAGCAGCAGGTAGTTGAGCTCATCTCTTTGTCACTCTGCTCTTTCCTCCTATCAGCATGTTTCCTGTTGACACATATTTGCTGCAGAACACCTGACTCTTGTGCTGCTTCAACCAGTTCCCAACCGTGCTATAGCCGAAGGAAGACTACAGAACGGTTGTGGAATCCTGGGACAACGACCATGGACATCATTCCAGAACCCACCCCCTACGCGTCCCCAGCGGCGCACACCCCGGCACCGCCGGTGATCGAGGTGTCCTACGGACACAGTAAATGGCCAATCACGGCAGCCATTTACCACGTGATCAGCTTGTAAATACAGTTGCCGTTCTCAGCTGCACTTTTCTCACGCTGTCACAGCGTGAGGAATGTACTGCCGAGAACCGGCAGTTGTCAGCGAAGGGATCGGCGCTGATGATTGGTGCCCGGCAATGCCACCCACCTGTACCCATCAGTGCCACCCACATGCCCTGCAGTGCCAACCACCTGTGCCCATCAGTGCCAACCACCTGTGCCCATCAGTGACAACCACATGCCCTGCAGTGCCAACCACCTGTGCCCATCAGTGCCAACCACATGCCCTGCAGTGCCAACCACCTGTGCTCATCAGTGCCAGCCATCAGTGCTGCCCACAAGTGCCAGCTCATCAGTGCCACCTATCAGTACCTCCTATCAGTCCTGTCTGTCTGTCTATCAGTGGTTCTCAACCTGTGGAACCTCAGGACCTACATTTGTTCTTGGTTAAGTTGTGACCAAAAAATAATTTAATTTCTGAAACATTATAATTGATTCCACAAAACAACTTGCGCAGTATTGTATAATGTATATGCACTTTTAAACAGCAAAACAAACAGCTTCCTTCCAAAATGGATAGTGTAGTAATAGCAGCACTAGTGACAATAAAAGTGCCATTTAGGTAAAAAAAAAAACAAAAAAATGAATGGTAATTAAACCATATGTAATTAATCAAAACTAAATGGGAAAATTGGGGATGCATCTTGCTCTTGATAAGTGTTCCAAAGTCTGGGGTGATGGTAGGTGCATTAGAGAGGGCTTGGGGGGGGGGGGGGGCACTTGCTCCGTGGCCCAGCCCACCCCTGGTCGCGACCCATTACTTAAGAGAAACTGTCCTGGACTGTACAAGAGACTGCAAGAGCCTGAAGCCATGTCAAACAAAGGAGCTTGCTCTGCTTGTAAGTACAAAAATAGATCTAGTAATTTTATATCCACCACAGTGCTGTGCTAATTTCTATATTTTATATCTGCCTGGAGTTCAGTTTTAACCTCTTAGATCTTGCACCTCCTGGCCCTTTAAGAGGTTTCAGAAGCCAGGAGGCGGGCAGGGTTTTAGGGTCATGTGACCACCGTGATTCGCCGTCACAGTACTCACATGATCTGAAAAGGTCCCGATCGAAACGGGAGATCAGGACCTTTGCGAGAGTCACGGACATATGTGCTCGGAGCGCGCAGGGCGCGCGCTCTCAGCACATATGTTTTTTCTAATTGCACCGAAATATGTGGCCGCTCGGCATCAACGCCCAGGCGCCGAGAGGCAGCATATTTGCGTGCACCCGGCATCAAAGGGTTAAGATATACAAGTGTGGCTCCAAAGTCCAATCAACCCCTGAAACATTCAGAGCTCTAACTTCTACTTATCCTGAACCCCAAAAGAAAGTATCTGAGTCAGTAAACGTTCCTCCCTTATGCAGACTAGCTATTTCAGGCAACACTATGCCCTATTAGTTTGCCCGTTCAGATGCCTAAAAAAGGATAACAGTTGGTTCTAGGGGTGGACTGACAACTCATGGGCCCCCGGGCAATAGGGGATCATGGGGCCCCTGTGTCCTCGCCCACACCCAAAAAAGCCTATGAAAAAGACAATGAAAGGTACCAGGGGCATCTCATGGGGCCCCCTACTGACCCCGGGCCCTCGGGCAGTGTCCGAGTGCTCAAATGCAGGGTGGATTTGATTTAAATCAAACTGATTTAAATCACTAGTCAGTAAGGCTTGATTTAAATCATAGTTTTCTACATAAAGAATACCACATCTGCACCCTGTGATGGAACGCGGCGCCCGACCCCAGCCCTTTTCACCAACTCATGACCAGGGACGAACTGACAACTCATGGGGCCCCCGGGCAATAGGGGATCATGGGGCCCGTGTCCTTGCCCAAACTCAAAAAAGCCTATGAAAAAGGTTCCAGGGGCATCTCATGGGGCCCCCTACTGACACCGGGCCTGAGTTTCCAAATGGTCAGTCCGCCCCTGGTTGGTTCACATTTGTTTACTCAGCTGCTTTATTGTTACCAGTCATTGCAACGAACAATTCCAAATACCATCTTAGTAATATTTGTCTGTATACTTTACAAAGAAATGTCTAGTAAATGGAATTTCTCTATACTATCACAAATGGAAAAATGCATACCATCACTTTGAACTGTGGAATATTACTTTATTGTAGTGCTGCACCAAAATAAAAAATTCTGGTGCCGAAACAGATACCGAAAATTCAGAATGCATATGGCCAAAAATGTGGGGGAGGGGAGGCTCCATATTTTTTGTATTTTTTTCTACTTTCATGTATATTTTTATTTTTGTATACAGTGAGGGAGCAGTGTATACAGAGAGGCTCCCTCACTGGCTGTCACTATATATCAGTGCCAGTTTTTAAATGTAATTACCGGCTTTTTTTTTTTTTTCTCTCTTCACTATAGCTCACAGAATTAGCTGTCACTTTCCCCAGAGCTAAAGGAAACTTTTTTTTTTTATCTTGGGAAAGAAACTAAAAGGAAACTTTGTTTTCTTTTAGCTGGGCGGAAAGTGACAGCTAATTCTGTGAGCTATAGTGAAGAAAAAAAAAAAAAAAGTCAGTAATTACATTTAAAAACCGGCACTGATCTATAGTGACAGCCAGTCACTGTATACACTACTCCTCTCCTTCCTTTCTCAGCCGTCCCCCCCTCACATCTGCAGTACACACAGTCCGCTGTATCAGCACTTGTATCAGCTAAATTTGCCCTATCGGCAAAATGCCGAAAAGGGCTATTTTTGGCTGATATGTTTCTGTGGCTGACATTTCGGTGCATCCCTACTTTATTGCATAAAAAAATGGTACTAAACTAATAGGGGCAGCACAGTGGCTAAATGGTTAGCACTTCCGCCTGGCAGTACTAGGGTTGTTGGTTCGAATCCCAGCCACGGCACCACCTGCCTGGAGTTTGCATGTTCTCCCTCCGCCTGCGTGGGTTTCCTCCGGGTACTCCGGTTTCCTCCCACACTCCAAAGACATGCTGGTAGGTTAATTGGCTCCTGTCTAAATTGTCCCTAGTATGTGTATGTATGAATGTGAGTTAGGGACCTTAGATTGTACACCCCTTGAGGGTTAGGGACTGATGTGAATGTACAATATTCTCCTAGATTGTAAGCTCCAAGGAGCAGGGCCCTCGAACCCCTCGTGTATCGCATTGTATTGTTATTGTACTGTCTCATGTATTGTCTCCCACTGTAATGTACAACGCTGAGCGAACTGTTGGCGCTATATAAATACTGTATAATACTAATATATGTGTAAAGTGCTGCGTAAATTGATGGCGCTATATAAGTACCTGAAATAAATAAATAATAACCTCTCTTTTTGTCTTGCTTAATTTGACGTATTTATAGCTTTTTCAAAAGTTTAGCATTGGATACCAAAATTAAATTAAAGCGGAACTTAGGGATATGAAAATATTATTTAAAAAAACAGGAGGCATGTGAATTTTTACTTGAATATTGGGTGTGCTTTGTGTATTAATGCTAGATCTGTGCAGTAATCCAGTATGAATCTATGCCTCTATACTGTAATAAAGACTTGGTCACTGCTGCTCCCTTTGTACAGGATGACTGTACAAAGAGAGGGAGCAGCAGCAGCATTCCCCCCCGTAGTTATCTGCAGGTATGCTGGGTTCTTTCCGCAGCTTTCCTCTGCACAAGTTATGTGCAGCACAATGATGAAGTCACTGCTAATCCAATATGGGAACCTCTGGATTTCACATGGTGAACACAGACAGACAAACACAGTGATTATATATCAACTAAAGCTATTGAGTAATATAATTGATTGTGAGTTTTCCATGAAAGAGAATAAATGGTGGCATCTAGTGGTAAAGAAGTACTATGGAGGATGGCTTCAGACTGAAGTTGCGTAAAAAGAGAAAAAGTCCTCTCCTATCACATACAACTGATGCATACACCATAGAGTCAGCATCTACAATACTGGTAGCAGCAGGTAACTGCCATGTTTTTCCTCTCCCTTCGCATATACATTACCATGGCATTCTTAGCCAGGTGCAGCAATATGCCCAGCGTGTGTACCAGTCTTCCTAGCATGAGATGGTTTTCACCCAGAAGGTTGAACGTGACAACTGGCCTTCAAATTATGGAGAAGAAGAAAAAAAAAAAAAAGAATTTACATTATACAATTGTTCTAAGCTTGCCTTCTCAGTGCAGAATGGATGAACGAGATAACAGGAAAAGGTAAACAGAACAGTCCCTCCAGCACTATAACTTTTTTTTTGGAACACCGAAAAAGAGGAAATGAATGGGTTTTTACACCAATAGATCTGAAGGGCATTTCCTTTTAACGAGTTTTTTTCAGATTCCCAAAAGTTCACTTCTGTCTAGTCCAGTAGATAATGTCGAAGGAAGCAGATAAAATTGTATTTAAACCCAAAAAACAACAAATTAATATACAGTATTGCAGCTTACCAGTCCTTATGTATGGTGGCTGCATTAATTTTGTTTCCAGCCTAAGAAAGACACGGGGGGGTTATTTACTAAAGCTGGTTCACTCAGAATCTGGTGCAGCTGTGCATGGTAGCCAATCAGCTTCTAACCTCAGCTTGTGCAATTAAGCTTTAGCAATGAAACCTGAAAGCCGATTGCTTTCCATGCAGAAGTGCACCAGATCCTGAGTGACCCGTGTTCACATAGCTGTGTTCCTGTGGTCCGCTTTTTGCATGGGCACGAGAGCTCATTCATTTGAATGGACTCCCGTGCCCCGGGACACGCAGGGAAGAAGTCCCTGCGCTTCTTCTGGAAACGCAGCCCACACAGGAACCTCGGTTCCCAGTACCGTTGTGTTTTCCACTGCGGGCGGCGTGCCATTAGAATTAAAGGCACCCGCCCGCGGGTCCACATTCCTCTGTGCGGGTGGTGCGGCTGCACGGATTTTTGTGCGGATCCGCAGTGGCACCACCCACACAGATGTGAACCTAGCCTTAGTAAATAAACCCCTGGGAGTCTTCAGAGAACGGGCAAACAACATCTCTGGGTCTTGAAAATGCTCTGCAGCTGACAATTACCAGAATGCAGTCTGGAAAGTGCTCTATATGATCCCAATGCCCGAATGTAATTTCCAGCCTTTCCCACGTCTAGTCTAGTAGGGTGACGACTGTGCGCCATAGAGGCATGGACGCTGTATGTGACAACCATCTTCTTAGGTCTCAGCCATGTTTTATTGCTCTCTTCATATCTTTGTTATATCTTTTTCTGTAAATATTTAAATTGCATCATTCTGACCTTTTTAGTAATAAATCCTATTTTCTGAAAAGTGTTGAACTGTCTCTAAAGCTTTTAATGCAAATTAAAAAATCCCTGTCTCTGAAGAGTGCTAATGTATGTAATAATCCTTTGAATATATCTGTCTGGGGTGACAGCAGTAACACTCACAAATCTTAGTGTGTATTAGACGCTTATACTAATATTATAGTTTCCTCCCTCTCTGTAAAAAGGTGGTGGTGGCAGTGTGAAGGGTTAATTGCGTAATTAACCTGACCCAGTAACAATCGCTCTCAGGCTGCAGATAGTCCCGTGAGCTGGAAAATCTTTGTGCAGGGCGCAGCTGAGAGTGGCATTGTTATACAAGTGACAGCGTGGTGTAAGATCGGCTGGTCCTTCAGTCACGAGCAGGGGCGGACTGACCATTTGGAAACTCAGGCAGTGCCCGAGGGCCCAGGGTTAGTAGGGGGCCCCATGAGATGCCCCTGGTACCTTTTTCATAGGCTTTTTTGAGTTTGGGCAAGGACACAGGGGCCCCATGATCCCCTATTGCCCGGGGGCCCCATGAGTTGTCAATCCGCCCCTGGTCATGAATTGGTGAAAAGGGCTGGGGTCGGGCGCCGCGTTCCGTCACAGGGTGCAAATGTGGTATTCCAAAAGCCAGGCTGAGGACAACCGCACCGCAACTATGTAATGGACAAAAAGCAACTCCTGCGGTAATGTCGAGTAGAGTGTAGAGAATTAAAATTAAAAAAAGAAAAAAAAAAAAAAAACCACAAAGAAAAAGTGCTTAGCACAGCAGACCTGTCAGATCCTGTCAGACCCACAGATGTCCATCGTCCTATGGCAATACCAAAAACTGAGGCATGCTAACTAATGGGCAGGGTTATCCTGAGCAGGCCTACAGTTTTTGAGGGTTGCTAGGGTCCCATCCTCTTGTAGATGGCAGTATACCACAAGACAAGGCAAGACTGATGCAGCCACCACATCTAAGCCACGGTACGCTGCAATATATTACATTTATGTTCTTGGGCTTAAATATACTTTAAAAGCAACAAGTTTTTCAAGCACATGACCAGCAAAAGAAGATTCACTTCATATGTTGCAAACAATAATGTTATATTCACCTGTCAAAGTTCTGAATAAGAGGGAAGAAAAAGTAGCCGGCAACAGTATGAAATCTGTTTGGGGTTGGAGCCGGGGTGCCTCTTGTCTGACCCTGCAGGCAGAACAAACGTCAGGATTCTGTGCATGCGTAGGGTACATTTTGCCTGAAGTGTTGCGTTTCTGTTTCAGTCACCTACCTTAGCAAAGCGTCTAACCTTGCTTGCTATCCTCTCCTCCACAACTTTCCTCCAATCAACAGGTTCCTCACTCTGTTGTGTCGCTACAAGGCGACTAGATAAAAGGTGATCTTCAGCCTTTGCTTCAGGATCTACTGGTTTTACTGGGATTATTGAATCTGAAAGTTCCTTAGCCGCTGATGCCAAAATCTGCAAAAAGAGGAACATATAAAGGATAGAGGAAAACCTTACTGGCCAGAAGCCGGGACTCAGCTCAGTGCTGCTGCTGCTGCTGCTGCAGTCTGCCTGACAACCATGGACCTTCTTTTTAAATGGTCTGAAACAAGAACTGAGAATAGACAATACAGAGAATTCGTATGTCACACTCTGGTACAAGGATGGCTTCCACCACAGGAGACTGATGATATAATCATTCACATTTATTACAGGTACTTACATAGCGCCATCAATTTACTCAGCACTTTACATATATATTGTACATTCACATCAGTCCCTAACCCTAATCGAACACGCTAGTTGGATGAAAAAAAAAAAAAAAAAAAAAAAAAAAAGATGATTACCGTATTTTTCACTCCATAGGACGCACTTTTTTCCCCCCCAAAAAATGGGGGAAAATGTCTGTGCGCCTTATGGAGCGAATATAGAGCGGCCGGCCCAGTATTCCCGCCGCGTCAGCCGCTTGACTCTTCTTTGCAGCAGAACCTTACCTGTTCCTTGGTCCAGCGGTGTCTTCATGGTCTTCTCTCCCTGGCGCTGGCATCTTTAGTGTTGACACCCGGCTGTGACAGCTTGCGGCTTCACAGCCGGGTGCCCACTGCGCATGCGCGAGAGCACTGAGCTTTGTGAATGGTCCAGCAGTCTTCTGGGACCTGTCTCATGTGTCCCCAGAAGATGGGGAGGGAGGAAGTGGGAGCGGGTACCTGTCAAATTTGAGTTCCCACTCCCATCCCCCAAAGGCCCGCAGTCTCTGGTCATCTCCTGTACTACATCCGCAGCCTCTGGTCATCTCCCGTACCGTGTCCGCAGTCTCCGGTCATCTCCCGTACCGTGTCCGCAGTCTCCGGTCATCTTCCGTACCGTGTCCGCAGTCTCCGGTCATCTCCCGTACCGTGTCCGCAGTCTCCGGTCATCTCCCGTACCGTGTCCGCAGTCTCCGGTCATCTCCCGTACCGTGTCCGCAGTCTCCGGTCATCTCCCGTACCGTGTCCGCAGTCTCCGGTCATCTCCCGTACCGTGTCCGCAGTCTCCGGTCATCTCCCGTACCGTGTCCGCAGTCTCCGGTCATCTCCCGTACCGTGTCCGCAGTCTCCGGTCATCTCCCGTACCGTGTCCCGCAGTCTCCGGTCATCTCCCGTACCGTGTCCGCAGTCTCCGGTCATCTCCCGTACCGTGTCCGCAGTCTCCGGTCATCTCCCGTACCGTGTCCGCAGTCTCCGGTCATCTCCCGTACCGTGTCCGCAGTCTCCGGTCATCTCCCGTACCGTGTCCGCAGTCTCCGGTCATCTCCCGTGCCGTGTCCGCAGTCTCCGGTCATCTCCCGTGCCGTGTCCGCAGTCTCCGGTCATCTCCCGTACCGTGTCCGCAGTCTCCGGTCATCTCCCGTACCGTGTCCGCAGTCTCCGGTCATCTCCCGTACCGTATCCGCAGTCTCCGGTCATTTCCCGTACCGTGTCCGCAGTCTCCAGTCATTTCCCGTACCGTGTCCGCAGTCTCCGGTCATTTCCCGTACCGTGTCCGCAGTCTCCCGTTATCTCCCGTACCGTGTCCGCATTCACTGGTCATCTCCCGTACTGTGTCCGCAGTCTCTAGTCATCTCCCGTACTGTGTCCGCAGTCTCCGGTCATCTCCCGTACCGTGTCCGCATTCACTGGTCATCTCCCGTACCGTGTCCGCAGTCTCTAGTCATCTCCCGTACTGTGTCCGCAGTCTCCGGTCATCTCCCGTACCGTGTCCGCAGTCTCTGGTCATCTCCTGTACTGTGTCTGCAGTCTATTGGTTCAGAATATTTTTTTTTCTTGTTTTCCTCCTCTAAAACCTAGGTGCGTCTTATGGAGCGAAAAATAGGGTAATACATAGACTGACTTAAGGTCATTAAGTGATTACACTACTAGCACTGAGCAAACAAACCAACTTAATGCTGGAATGGTGCATCTGATAGCACACAACTCATTATTATAGAGACATACATACATCCAAAATGTCCATCCTCTGTCTCAGGCTGTAGTTCAAGGAGTAGAATTCTTCTGTAAGATACTGAGACACCTGCCAAGATAGAAAAGGTCAAGCTGCACTCACATAAAGCTGCTCACAGAACAAAGGATCACACCCTTGAATGCAAGATTGCAGATTTTACTCCACTTTAGTATAAATACAGGGCTGCTGGATGGTTAGAAAGTCTTACCGGTACAGGATCAGTAACAGTGACAGCAACCATGGCTGCAAACCTCAGCTCTGTGAACTTCTCGACTCCAAAACGGTCATCAAGGTGTAAGAGAATTTTGGCAAGTTCTGTACTGACCTGCATGAAAAGAACAATAAATGGCAGTTAGTAGTTTGCTGCAAAATAGACTCCATCTGCAGGGATGTGATATGATCAAGCACATCTGTGAACAAAAGCCTGGCAATTGATGCTTGGTTGGCCACTCCAGGTTTAGCCCCTTTTGATCTAATAATGCATAGGCTGCTGTAGTTACTTTTGATTGCAATTTGATTATCACTTTCTTAAGACCAATTTATGTCTCTCCTGTATCCCCTGGTGGGGGCGGAGTGCTCTCTGTTTCCCGTGGGTCCACTGTTATGGGGATACTCCTATTGTCCTGTATATGCAAAATTGTCTTATCATCTGATTGTATTGTAATGTGTTCTCTGTAATTTATTTATTTCAGGTACTTATATAGCGCCGTCAATTTATGCAGTGCTTTACATGTATATTGTACATTCACATCAGTCCCTAACCCTCAAGGGGTGTACAATCTAAGGTCCCTAACTCACATTCATACATACACATACTAGGGACAATTTAGACAGGAGCCAATTAACCTACCAGCATGTCTTTGGAGTGTAGGAGGAAACCGGAGTACCCGGAGGAAACCCACGCAGGCACAGGGAGAACATGCAAACTCCAGGCAGGTGGTGCCATGGTTGGGATTCGAACCAATGACCCTAGTACTGCCAGGCGGAAGTGCTAACCATTTAGCCACTGTGCTGCCCGTATATGTTGCACAGACTCTTGAATTCTTGTCTTATTGATGGCACTGGAAGGTTTTCTTTACCATGTTGTTTGGTTTGTTAATGATTCAGTCTTTGCTACCATTCTGTACATGCCTTGTCATTTTGGAAATATATGACTTTACCATTAATAAACATTATTTCTGATTTAAAAAAAAAAAAAAAAAGCCTGGCAATTATTTTTGCAGCATTAATGCTGTACAAGTAAGCCAAGTTGCCCCTCAGCGCTGGCTCTTCCAGCAATTAATACAGAAACTCACATCCTCTAAAGCCAAAGCCATACAGAGGCTCACATGAAAGAAGCCATTCCCTATTGCAGTGAATGTATTCTTCGGAATGGAGTTGGTGCATGGCTGTGATTGCTCAGCTCCTTTTTTACACTTCTGTACTTGTAGTGGTTTTTGGGGCAAAAAAAAAAAAAAGGGATCAGCACATGTGCCCTACATGCACATTTCACAATCGTTTTTTTTTTTAAAATGATGCAACTACAGAAAAATATCTGATGATCACCCAGAACTCCAGTGCTGCACTGACATTCTATGCAGCATTGTCAGCTCTACCTGCTGGACTACATAACTCCATCTATCCTCCACCCCTTGCTGTTCCTCTTCATATGCATTCACCGATTTCTTCCCATGCAAAACAATGCTGCTGCCTTCACTTCCAAGATCCTGCCCACACTGTGAGAAAGGGCTCTTGGTATCTGTAGTTCTGGGGTATGCCAATGTCAATAGGAACTGAGCTCCAAACGCGTTTTTGCTGTAACGACAGCGTTGCAGTGACAGCAAGTTTTGTTCCAGGGGAATAAAAGATGGAATTTACAATGGGAGTTAAACAGATACTGTGTGCAGTCAGTTATATAGATCCATATGATGAACGTACCAGAAAGTAAACATTTGTATTAAAATGAACATGCAGAAATGGTAAAGAAAATTGTGCTGTATAGATTTTCTTTATTTGTTCAATCAGAATTAACACAATAAAGGCCTTAACCACTTCCAGTCCGGACACTTTCACCCCCTTCCTGTCTAGGGCAATTTTCAGCTTTCAGCGCTATCACACTTTGAATGACAATTACGCGGTCATGCAATACTGTACCCATATGAATTTTTTACCATTTTTTTGAGACAGATAAAGCTTTATTTTGGTGGTATTTATTCACCGCTGGGATTTTTTTTTTTTTTTTGCTATGTAAATGAAAAAAAATCCAAACATTTTGAAAAAAAAAGTGTTTTTCTTATAAAATTTTGCAAATAAATAATCTTTCATCATAAATCTTGGCCAAAATGTATTCCGTTATATTTTTAGTAAAAAAAAAATAAAATAAGCCAAATTAGTTTAGAACCAAAAATTATAATTTTTAAACATTTTTATTTTATTTTTTTTATATTATTATTTATGGGGTTTTTTTTTTTGTTTTGTTTTTTTTTCCCATACTGTCACCCTAGCAGTACAGTGTCACCATGGTGACACTGTACTACTTGTGGGGGGTGATGGTTTTTTTTTTTTTTTTTTTTACTACAGTGATTGCTTTTACACCCATAAAGGATGTAAAAGCAATCATTTCTCTTTCTCTCTGTCTGCATTCTTGCAGCCATTGAGAAGTACTGAGTGAGCTGTGATTGGTCACAGCTTGTCACATGGTACAAGGTTGTTGTGAATAGCCTTGTACCATGTGACCTCGGTGATCATTCACAGATTTCACACGTAGTAAGCAATGATGTCACAAGTGACATCTTGCTTACTACTTTGCATGTGATCACTGATTGGCCAATCAGTGATCACATGATCGGGACCTCGTACAGAGGTCCCGTCCAAAGATCGGTGTTTCACTGTGTCCGGAATACACAGCGGGCACCGGACCGCGGTGCTGCGCGCTCCCAGGGAGCGCGCACAGCTAGAAATGGCGGGTGCCGTTTATGAACGGCAACCCGCCCCAGGAGTGCCACCGCCCTGCCGTTTATAAACAGCAGGTGGACGGCAAGTGGTTAAGGACCATCTCTAGTTCTCAGATTGATTATGGGTTTACTCTAGTACCTCTTTGGTGGCAGTAGAGTTTGAGCGGATCAGGGTGGCCATTGATGACATCGTTGCTTCCAGCTTCTCCACATCCTCTGAAAACAGTACTACAGAGATAAGATGATGAGACCAAGATAATAATTATTAAAAACATGTGACTCATAACAAGTTGTTCTAGCCATAGCAATATTCATGAAATATAATAATTGGTATAAATGGATGAACCAAATGGGTGTCCATCTCACCTTCCATACAGTCCCGAATATACGCTGGGGTTTTGTTCTTCTTCAGCTCAGTGTCTGTGCTCATGTCATATGGAGTCAGGTCATCATCACTGTTGTGGAGATTTGGAAAAAGCATTGGCAAAATGAAAAAAAAAATTGTAAGGACAGAAATATAGCAGCTGTGTGCATTGCAAAGTACATATCTGCTACCCAGAAGAGGAGTCATCATCACACTACTGGTTCACTTCAGAGACCCTGTCACCCTGAGCATTCAAGGCACAGTGAAGGGGTCTCTTTGAAGCCCACCCTACCTATTTTTACTGGCCTTTACAGAGATGCCCCTACACTCTATCCTCTGTCCCAGCACTGCAAAGTAGAAGGTTTTGTAACTGGCAGGAAGCAATAACATGAATTCCATGGAGAATGAGCAACAGGGAAGCAGGGTCAGGCGGCAGTCTCTTTAAGGCATAAAGGCAAAAATTATATTGACCTTTTTAGGGTTCCTAATGTCAGCCTCCCTCTTCTAAGGATAATAGTGGGCTCAGAGGCAACATGACCCTTTCTGTCAAATGGGGCAGGCAATGTCACTGCCATTCCACAGCCATTCTTAAGCCAAAATATTCCAATAATCCCCACTAACAGGTAGTCTCAAAGTGCCATAACTTACCTTCCCTGCTCTCATCCTCCACCTCTCCCCTGCTGTAGCCTTCTTGAAAGTTAAGGTGCTTCCAAGTAATTTAAAGAAATACCTGACACCCTCTTTGCATTCCTACAAGGCAGTGCTCATTCACTGGGTATAAGAACTGTCACAAGAGTGCAGAGTTGGGTGGTATTGTCCTTACATTTGTGCAGAGCCTACAGCGACAATTAGAAAGCAGTCAGATGTAGGGAAGGTCAGTCAAGCACTATAGGGGGCACCTCCATATCCTGGGGATTTTATCTTTTTATTTTATGATTTTAAAGTAAATCTATCATAAATGCAAAATGTTTTCATCATTAGATTCATAGATACAAGTAGCTGAAATTATGCTAAGATTTTTCCTATAAAAAAGCCATCCTTGTTCCAAGCAATGCAGGTCAGGAACCGGGCAGATCGAAGCTGGGATCCTGGGCTCTCCTGGCTCCAAAGCCATAATCACCACAGCACAACTGAGCTAAGGGGCTACACGGGGGGAAATCAAACATAAAGGCTGCCATTGCCGACCTTCTTTGTTTGGCACATTGGAAATATTGGATTCTTTTACTTGTAGCACTGACAGCACACAAAAGTGAACTGACAATGCAGCTCTGGTTCAGAGGGGTAAAGCCCACAGAATGCAAGCAGTGCCTTACATCATTTTGCTTTGTGCCCATCCTCCTGGAGCAGGGCTTCTATCCCCGAAGGTTGTGTCCCCCAATGAACATTCAAGGACTACTTCAAGTTATATGCAATGGTGCAACATGGCACCCCAACCCACCTTGCCAATAGATGTGCATTGCAGAACAGCGCAGCGCACTGATGCGAGTTGTGGTGCACTCCCAGAAATGAAACATGTACCGCTTTTGGTGCATTAGCAGCCCAATCATTTTAAATGGGCTGCATGAATCCAACATTCGATGATGCACAGCATAACGTACGTCAAAAGGCATGTGTTAATGGGTCATTCAAAGAGAAAATAATAGTGGCTAAATGGTTAGCACTTCCGCCTGGCAGTACTAGGGTCGTTGGTTCAAATCCCAACCACGGCACCACCTGCCTGGAGTTTGCATGTTCTCCCTCTGCCTGCGTGGGTTTCCTCCGGGTACTCCGATTTCTTCCCACACTCCAAAGACATGCTGGTAGGTGAATTGGATCCTGTCTAAATTGGCCCTAGTATGTGTATGTATGAATGTGAATTAGGGACCTTAGATTGTGCGCCCCTTGAGGGTTAGGGACTGATGTGAATGTACAATATATATGTAAAAGCGTTGCGTAAATTGACGGCACTATATAAGTACCTGAAATAAATAAATAAAATATCTAATTTTCACTCTCATGCTGAAGATCTGTGGCATCAAAGCTGCCCTGAAAGTCTGCATCAAAGTCCCAGCGCTTACTACAGGGGCCGACATAACCAAGCTTTTTTTCTGCAGCGAATGATCAACTCTGAACAAACATACAGCTAGAAAGCAATGTATGTATGTATAAGACTTATTAAAATAAAAATGAAAAAAACAAACAAAAACTGACCGATTTTTACAATGCACAGACCCTAATTCTTCAAATTAGCTGCAATAACAGCAATTGGGCTTTCAAGTATTAAACTAACCTGTCCAGTTCCGATTCGGACCCAGTTTTTTGTTCATCCTGGTCTTTTACATCCTTCTTACTGGTTGGAACTGTAGAACTATAAGAACAACATACTATCTGTTACAAAGCTCAATATAACAACAAGACACACACATGCCAGCACAGTATGAAGCTTTCTTTAAATCCACTGACCTCTCAGATGGAGCCCTCGCAAGATCTGGAAGGTCTGGCAGACAAATACATGGTGGGTTTAGTAGTGACTTCAAGTCTTTGATGTCGTCATCCTCCTCATACTGCAGGATGCAGAGAGTTTGTGTGCATTAGATGGACTGTCACACTTACCTTTAAAGCCCAACTCCTGTACAATGAAGGAGGGAGGGCAAGTTTGAAAACCTTGTCCACTGATTAGACAAAGGTCCCTACCTGGAAGGAAAGACTGGGACCTTCAAGATCGATTTGCTGGCTCAGGCACTCAGCCACTACCATTCCCAAACACCTGACTGGAAGAAGAGAACTGTCCAGGTATAAGCGAGTGCCAGAAGTCAAAGCATGCAGCAGCTCTGTGCATAGGAGACAAAAGATGAGTTGGTAGTAGGAAAACAAAAAACGAAACATGTTACAGGTGGAGAACTGCTGCCATGTTGTACAGTCTCCTACCTTGTTTGCACCCCTCCATCTCCTCTTTATTCAGAAGACTTATGCAGATGAAGATACAACGACTGAGATGTAGCATTTGGGGGTAAGGCGAGTGTTTAACCATGCTACCCGATGACCAAATCTCCAGAAGCTCCCGCAAAACCTGTCACAAGAACAAACAATGATCTACATTCTAATATACCGCTCATAACACCCATCCTGCTCATCTGATCTGCATGCTGCCTTTACACTTACATCACAGTCTTGTTCATCTGGTCTATGCAATATATCTCCCCTCATAACCTAGATCTATATACTACCTCAGTCCTCATATCACAGTCCTGTTTATGCAATCTATAAACTACTGACCACCATACATGGCTCAATTTTCTCAATCAATCCCCCTATCTATACTTATAGCTTAGATGGAGGAAACCTCCACTGTCAGCTATTGTATTACAATGGATTGAATACAATGGCACTGCCAAACAGTGAATGAATTTGGTAGGATGCAGTTGCTCTCTGGCCAAATATTTCCATCCAGCCCAGTCAATTTTTAATCGACTTCCGTCAAGCCAGGTAGGGTTTGCAAGGCCACTCAGGGCATGAAATTTCACCAATGCAGCAGGAATTGGCCAAAATTTGAGCCGTAACTCAAAATGATACTCAGTAGTTTGTATGGCCCCCATGTGCTTGTATGCATGCCTGACAACGTTGGGTCATGCTCCTAATGAGATGAAGGATGGTGTCCTGGGGTATTTCCTCCTAGATCTGGACCAAGACATCACTGAGCTCCTGGACAGTCTGAGGTGCAACCTGGTGGCATCGGATAGATAAACATGATATCCCAGAGGTGTTCTATTGGATTTAAGTCAGGCAAGCGTGGGGGCAATTCAATGGTATCAATTCCTTCATCCTCCAGGAACTGCCTGCATACTCTCGCCACATGAGGCCGGGCATTGTTGTGCACCAGGAGGAACCCAGGACCCACTGCACCAGCAAAGGGTCTGACAATGGGTCCAAGGATTTCATCCCGATACCTATTGACAGGGTGCCAATGTCTAGCCTGTAGAGGTCTGTGCGTCCCTCCATGGATATGCCTCCCTAAACCATCACTGACCCACCACCAAAACGGTCATACTGAACAATGTTACAGGGAGCATAACATTCTCCACGGTTTCTCCAGACCCTTTCACATCTGTCACATGTGCTCAGGGTGAACCTGCTCTCATCTGTGAAAAGCACAGGGCACCAGTGGTGGACCTGCCAATTCTGGTGTTCAATGGCAAATGTCAATCAAGCTCTATGGTGCCTCAGGCCACCCTCATGAAGTCTGTTTCTACTTGTTTGGTCAGAGACATTCACACCAGTGGCCTGCTGGAGGTCATTTTGTAGGGCTCTGGCAGTGCTCATCCTGTTCCTCCTTGCACAAAGGAGCAGATACCGGTCCTGTTGTTGTGTTTAGGGCCTTCTATGGCCCTGTCCAGCTCTCCTAGATTAACTGCTTGTCTTCTGGAATCTCCTCCATGCTCATGAGACTGTGCTGGGAGACACAACAAACCTTCTGGCAATGGCACGTATTGATATGCCATCCTCGAGGAGTTGGACTGCCTGTGCAACCTCTGTAGGGTTTAGGTATCGCCTCATGCTACCAGTAGTGACACTGACCCTAGCTAAATGCCAAACTAGTGAAAAACAATCAGAAAAGATGAGTAGGAAAGAAATGTCAGTGGCCTCCACCTGTAAAACCATTCCTGTTGTGATCATCTCATTGTTGCCCATCTAGTGCCCCCTGTTGTTTAATGTCATTAACACCAAAGCAGCTGAAACTGATTAACAACCCTCTCTGCTTCTTAATTGACCAGATCAATATCCCAGGAGTTTAATTGACTTGATGCTAGACTATGATTAAAAAGTGTTCCTTTAATTTTTTTGAGCAGTGCATGTGTGTGTGTGTTACCTCACCATGCAAGTGACAGACCTGTTTCAATATACTACCTCTTCACTAACATCTGCAATTCTGTTTATCAGATCTACAGTACATACTACCTCTCTACTTATTTATTGATCTACATACTACCTCGCCACTAAATATCTCCAACTCTTTATAGAGTACATACTACATCTCTACTCTCAATTTTACTGTGCCGGCCATCACATTTGCCTTTCACTCCTGAACTTCTCCATTTTTGTTTATTCTTTTTATTGAATCTACATCCTACCTCTTCAGGCATATTCCATAAACAGCTTGCCCCTCTACTACAAGCCTTAGTCCTGATATCTGAACTACTTTCTACCTCCCCACCACAGGCCACATCTCTGAACTTCTAGCCTCAGTCCTACTTTGATCTACAATAATGCTCTTACAATGCACATACTCTGTAGCAGTAAACATAATGCCATGTTAGACAGGGCATATAGGATGTAGGCTTGGTTCTTCCGGCGAGTAGGGTTTGGCGGAAGTATCAAGACTTGCTATGGTCTTGGCTGATTTCTCAAGGTTTGTTTATGGCAGTTGTTGTTATAATTACCTACTCAGTGTAATGTTTTGCACAGAGCAGCTCCGATCCACTTCTTTTTGGGTCCCTCGCTGAGTGCCCCCAATAGCAAACAAATTGCTATTTGGGCACTCCAGCAGGCTCGCTTCCAAGCCAAGCTCTTCATGTCCATTCATACGTGGAGCACAACTTGCCCCCCCCCCTTTTCTATCCTCACTGGCTGTGGTTTACAGCAGCTGTGTAAGCCAATGAGGAGAAAGAGACCCAAGAGAGCTGCGGGTCTCATGCATGTCGCTGGATCGAGATGGGGCTCAGGTAAGTATTAGGGGTGGCTGGGGGACGGTTGCACCCAGAAGGATTTTTACCTTAATGCATAGAATGCATTAAGGTAAAAAACTCTGAGCCTTTAGAACCACGTTGACACAAAATCCGTATTACATTCCTAATCTGCAACATAAAAATATCCACCAATCATACCCACCTTAATCAACAATGCCCGGCGATTATTTTCCATAGACAGATATCCCAGAATAGTTTGCAGCATCTCATTCTGCACAAGAACATGAATTGAGAAATGTTACATACAAACATCACTGTGAATTCTATCAAAGTGTGTGGCAAGCTTCCATTTACCTTGTGACCATACTGCAGGAACAGCAGCTTCTGAGTGAGAATGAACTGGGTCTTCTTATTTTTCAAAACCAGATCACCCAGTAACTGGGAAAGAGCAGATGGTCTAGGAATAACACAGAGGTATATAATACAGATGTAGGCATTACAGCAAGGTGCAGATTGCATAGTAGACTAAAGATGAACTCTGGGATTACGTGGAGTTTTGCATGAATTGGGCATAAAATGTGCTCTGAACGTCATCTAAGTCACAACAATAGAAGGACACAGTCTGCTGAACATAATACTACACAAACATTAGATGTTGCCATGGTTTAATTGCACATAACATGTAAACATTTACAGTGCAGGGAGGAAAAAGTATGTGAGGCCCTAGCTTAATGACTTCTCCCAGAGCTAATTGGAGCCAGGAGTGAGCCAACCTTGACTCCAATCAGTGCGATATTGGATGTGTTGCTGACAGCTGTCCTGCCCTTAAAAAACACACACCTGTTTTGGGTTTACTGGTTTCAAGAAGCACTGTCTGATGTGAACCATGCCTCGCAGAAAAGAGCTCTCAGAAGACCTACGATCAAGAATTGTTGACTTGCATGAAGCTGGAAAGGGTTACAAAAGTATCTCCAAAAGCCTTGATGTTCATATGTCCACGTTAAGACAGACTGTCTACAAATGGAGAAAAGTTTAGCACTGTTGCTACTCTCCCTAGGCGTAGTCGTCCTGTAAAAATGACTGTAAGAGCACAGCGCAGAATGCTGCATGAAGTAAAGAAGAATCCCAGAGTGTCAGCTAAAGACCTACAGAAATCTCTGGCACATGCTAACATTTTTGTTGACACATCTACAATAAGGAAAACATTAAACAAGAATGGAGTACATGGGAGGACACCACGGAGGAAGCCATTGCTGTCCAAAAAGAATATTGCAGCACGTTTGAAGTTTGCAAAAGAGCACCTGGATGTTCCACAGCACTACTGGCAAAATATACTGTGGACAGATGAAACCAAGATTGAGTTGTTTGGGAAGAACACACAACACTATGTGTGGAGAAAAAAAAAGGCACAGCACACCAACATCAAAACCTCATCCCCATTGTAAAACATGGCAGAGGGAGCATCATGGTTTGGGGCTGCTTTGCTGCCTCAGGGCCTGGATGGATTGTTGTCATTGATGGGAAAATGAATTCCAGAGTTTATCAAGACATTTTGCAGGAAAACGTAAGACCATCTGTCCGCCAACTGAAGCTCCGCAGAGGATGGGTGATGCAACAGGACAATGACCCAAAGCATACAAGTAATTCAACAAAACAATGGCTGCAACAGCACAGAATACGCCTTCTGGAGTGGCCCAGTCAGAGTCCCTGACCTCAACCCGATTGAAATGCTGTGGCATGACCTTAAGAGAGCGATTCACACCAGACATCCCAAGAATATTGCTACACTGAAACAGTTTTGTGAAGAGGAGTGGTCCAAAATTACTCCAGATCGTTGTGCAGGTCTGATCTGCAACTACAGGAAACGTTTGGTTGAGGTTATTACTGCCAAAGGAGGGTCAACCAGTTATTAAGTCCAAAGGTTCACATACTTTTTCCTCCCTGCACTGTGAATGTTTACATGTTATGTGCAATTAAACCATGGCAACATCTAATGTTTGTGTAGTATTATGTTCAGCAGACTGTGTTCTTCTATTGTTGTGACTTAGATGACGTTCAGAGCACATTTTATGCCCAATTCATGCAAAACTCAACGTAATCCCAAGGGGTTTCTTGCAACTGTATATAACCATATAAATATAAAAGTAAATGCCACTGTTAAGGCGGATCTAAAAACTCTCTCAATCAACATTGACCATTGTAATCCTTTTGCTGCTAAAATTAGTAAATAGATTGGAAGGTATATCAATATTTATTTTTTTAAATGTGTTTTTTTTTTTTACATTTCTTCTTCCTAGTTTTTGGCCTAGGCCAAAATGATGTCATACGTCCCATGAGTCTTGCACATCAGTGTGCATAACATGTGTTTGTCTGCACTCAACATACACTTTGTGGTGTGAACCCTTTAAAGAGGAAGTTAACCGGGCTTGTGAAAATTTTGAATCAGAAGCTGAAAATACTGTATGGGGGGTAGGGGGGGTCTGGATTGTTACAACAGAAGCAATTTCAATATCACCTAGGTGAGGATTAAGAAAGTGAGATCAGATACTGTTAAAAAAAAAAAAGGGGGGGGGGGTTGAAAATTAGATAGAGGCTGGAAGGAAGGAAAACAACCAGAGCAACTTTCATTTTTGGGTAAAGGTCTGCTCTAAGTACCCTTGCCATGCTATCATCCTCCTGTCATGCCCTGCACAGCAGCAACTATTCACACCATACTAACAAAATCCCCAGATGGAAAATATCTAGAGAGAGAAACCAGAAGCTGCAGTTTGTCCTCATTTGGACCCCCTTAACCCGTGGGTTCTATACCCACTGTGGTCCCCTTCTTTTTCATTCTCCCAGAGAAACCAGAGGGCCTTGCCTTGTAGGGCATGCTGTGGACTTGCCTTTGCATGGCATCTGGAAGGCTATTAAAGTGGAACGCAACTGTATCTAAGCAACACAAATCACTTTAAAAAATACCCCACTAGCATTTCTAGCCATGGCCATCTTGAGTAAGGATTCATGTAGCATTTACTTCCTAGGATCCATCTGCCTTTAGCTGAGGAGTGTGTGCCTAGCTAAGAACGCCCCTCCTCCTCTCCAGATGAAAGAGAAATGACGACTCATGGGATGTATGACATCATTTTGGCCTAGGCCAAAAACCAGGAAGAAGAAATGTAGAAAAAAAAAACCTCAAAAAAACAAAAACACACATTTAAAACAAATATTGATATACCTTCCAATCTATTTACTAATGCTAGGAGCAAAAGGATTACAATGGTTAAGGCGGATGTAAACTCTCTCAATCAACATTAACAGTGACATTTATTTTTATACTTCTATGGTTCTGACATACAGCTTTACAGAGAATAAGCCCCGGTTCACATATATGTGGCAGTGCGGGCTGCGTTTTGCACGGGCACAAGAGCCCATTCATTTGAATGGACTCCCGCGCCCGTAGGGAAGAAGTCCCTGCACTTCTTCTGAAAACGCAGCCCGCATGGGAACCTCGGTTCCCAGTACGGTTGCGTTTTCCAGTGCGGGCGGCGTGCCATTAGAACTAATGGCACCTGTCCGCGGGTCCGCATTCCTCTGTGCGGGTGGTGCGGTTGCACAGATTTTGTGTGGATCCGCAGCGGCACCACCCGCACAGATGTGAACCTAGCCTAATGAACCAGTCACATCTATTTCCTCCCAAAAGAAAATACAGTGTAATTTGCAGGAGCAAATTGGATCATGCTTTGCTGGGTTTTTTTTGCCTTCCTCTGGATCAACTGTGGGTGTAGGATTATAACTTTTTTTTTTTCCTATGGTTGAACTGGATGGACTTTTGTCTTTTTTCAGCCAGACTAACTATGTAACTATGTAATAACACTACAGCAGTCACACAGTGGGGTTAGTCGGTGTGGATGCTGTGTAACCTACCAGTATGTTTCTGGATTGCAGGAAGAAACCAGCATAAAAACAGAGGAATCCTCAGCACAAGGAGAATATACAAACCCCATGCAGATAATGCTTCTGTTGGAATCTGAAGCCAAGACAACAAGAGAACACAATAGAAGACATTTACCCAGGTGCCATTTGTGCAAGCCCAGTCACCACCGGCTCCATCCATCTGTCAGGGACCGACTCCACCAGTCTCCAGCAGATTCTCTGCCAGATGCAATCTGATTGGACTAGGGCAGTCAGACGTGGCAACAGAACTGAAAACAGCTCTCCTGTAAATAAACATGAGAAAGTGCACCACCATTATTGTTCAAACGCCGGTATGCATTTCATGTCTATCTAAAATGTTCATGAAATGAAAACCCCAGCAATAAACTTCTCTTATCTGCTCCCTTGTCTGTTATATCAGATCGCCCTCTATAGCCCTCGAGGTTATGGAGAAGAGTAGAGGGGGGAGCTTTTTGTAGTCCTTGTGAAAATAAAAAAAATAAAACCTGGAGAATAAAATGAAAACTAATGCAGCCACCACATCTAAGGACTAATATGCTGTATTATTACATGCTATTTTTTTTAGATTAGATAGGACTTGCATCTGAGCACCACAAATCAAAAACTAGATTTAATTCATTTTTAACATTCAAAGCAAACTCCACCATTCACCCATGGCTCCATGCTTTATTTTGCTGAGAAATCACATTGAAAAACACCCTCTAGCATTTCTGGCTGTGGTCAACTTGAGTAAGGGCAGGTGATTCATGTAGCATTCACTTCCTGGAATCCATATGCCCTTAACTCAGGCATGCAGGCAGGAGGGTGCGCTTAGCGGAGAAAGCCCATCCGCCCCTCCTGAAGACTACTGGAATGTATGACATCATTTGCCTAGGCATGGAAACCAGGAAGTAACAGAAGAAATGTAAAAAAAAAAAAAAAAAAGTTTAAAACGATTAAATATAATATACTTTCCTATCTACAGTATTTACTAATACTAGCAGTATAAGGATTAAAAATAGTCAATGTTGACAGAGAGTGAAGTTCCAGAACACAACACTTGAGAACCACACATTAGCTGTTCAGTAAGGGCTCATTTGCATATGCTTTGCTCTCTGAAGAGCGATCCACCGCCTCTTCACTGCCTGCTTTAACCCCTTGATCCCTGCATTAGTGCATCACAACTGCGTGCATTGCATGAGGCTGCGGGGTGCTTGCAGAGCAACTCCATTCACTTAAAAAGAGGGTATAATAGCTGCCACATGGCTTAGGCTTTGGGGCTACACGTCTGTAATGATGCACTCAGTATAGGGAGACCCAGCAATTTCCCTATAAACGTTATGCTGTCCACCATACTGCCCCGTACTACATCACTGACCTAATAGCCAAGTACCACCCAGCACGCACACTCCGCTCCTCACAAGACCTCCTTCTCTCTAGTTCCCTGGTCTCCTCCTCCCATGCCCGCCTCCAGGACTTCTCCAGGGTGTCACCCATCCTCTGGAACTCCCTGCCCCAACCCATCAGATTATCACCTATTCTCCTCTCCTTTAGGCGCACCCTGAAAACCCATCTCTCCAGGGAAGCCTACCCCACCCCCTGCTAACTTGCCGACCTCCTCCACTCTTCCTACCACTCCATCCCCCACAGCTATCTCCTCCTGTGCCACCATCCCATCCCTCCTAGATTGTAAGCTCGAAAGAGCAGGGCCCTCGATCCCCTCATGTTTTGCATTGTATTGGTATTGTTCTGTCACATGTTCTGTCCCCCTTTGTAATGTACAGCGCTGAGCGAACCATTGGCGCTTTATAAATACTGTATAATAATATTATACAATATATAAATCTAAATAAAACTATATAAAATATAAAACATATAAAATTACTGACTTTTAGTAAAGAAGAGTGGGATGATTTGGTCTTTATTATAATGATTGGAAAGGTCAAATTTGTATTTCATATTAAAATGTAGTATACAAAAGGCTCACAGATCACAGTTATATCTACATGGAAACAACTTTTAATTGTAAATCGGTGTAGAAAATCTGAGATCACCACTACAATTCTCTGCAACTTTGACAGGAAGCCACATTTGGAAAAGGGGAGCAAATAGTAAACCATTGTATGAAATTGTGCCAATGTAGAAGAAAAGCAGTCAGTCATTCTGTGACCAATATTATTGCGTGTTTTGTTTCACCGCCATGCCTGTATCATGTTGTTGGAGTCTACTCACTGTGCCGGCCTTGCATGCAGACTTTTCCCAGAAGCTGGGACACAAAATTGATGGAGCAGCCTTTCCCGTCTATGAAGAAGAGAAAATACATGAAAAAATGAGGCAAATCATTTTTCCCCTAACATGGCAAAGCAACCAAATTGCTTTACTCTCCTCATTCCCAGTGACATACAGTATACTTACCTTTCCTTCACTCCTCCTCTATTCTGCTCAGTGCTGGAAGCTAAAAAGAAATAGCCAATACTTCTGGGTATGGAGTATGAAAAGGGATCATTCTGGTATCCCAGAATCAGTGAGTGGACCAGACAGGAATGAGCATTTGACTTATTCCTTGTGACAGACCTGGGCCAGCCAGCACTGTATATTGGGATGTCCATAGTCCTCTGCTTTGACTTACAACAACTTGCAGCTTACACAGGACTTTTCTTCACTTCCAGCAGATCAACAGGGTGGCAGGCGAGTATACAGTTGCAAAAAAAAGTATGTGAACCCCTTGGGATTACGTGGAGTTTTGCATGAATTGGGCATAAAATGTGCTCTGCACGTCATCTAAGTCACAACAATAGAAGAACACAGTCTGCTGAACATAATACTACACAAACATTAGATGTTGCCATGGTTTAATTGCACATAACATGTAAACATTCACAGTGCAGGGAGGAAAAAGTATGTGAGACCCTAGCTTAATGACTTCTCCCAGAGCTAATTGTAGCCAGGAGTGAGCCAACCTTGACTCCAATCAGTGTGATGATATTGGATGTGTTGCTGACAGCTGTCCTGCCCTTAAAAAACCACACACCTGTTTTGGGTTTACTGGTTTCAAGAAGCACTGTCTGATGTGAACCATGTATCACAGAAAAGAGCTCTCAGAAGACCTACGATCAAGAATTGTTGACTTGCATGAAGCTGGAAAGGGTTACAAAAGTATCTCCAAAAGCCTTGATGTTCATATGTCCATGGTAAGACAGACTGTCTACAAATGGAGAAAGTTTAGCACTGTTGCTACTCTCCCTAGGCTTGGTCATCCTGTAAAAATGACTGCAAGAGCACAGAGCAGAATGCTGCATGAGGTAAAGAAGAATCCCAGAGTGTCAGCTAAAGACCTACAGAAATCTCTGGCACATGCTAACATTTTTTATCGACACATCTACAATAAGGAAAACATTAAACAAGAATGGAGTACATGGGAGGACACCACGGAGGAAGCCATTGCTGTCCAAAAAGAATATTGCAGCACGTTTGAAGTTTGCAAAAGAGCACCTGGAAGTTCCACAGCACTACTGGCAAAATATACTGTGGACAGATGAAACCAAGATTGAGTTGTTTGGGAAGAACACACAACACTATGTGTGGAGAAAAAAAGGCACAGCACACCAACATCAAAACCTCATCCCCACTGTAAAACATGGCGGAGGGAGCATCATGGTTTGGGGCTGCTTTGCTGCCTCAGGGCCTAGACAGATTGTTGTCATTGATGGGAAAATGAATTTCCGAGTTTATCAAGACATTTTGCAGGAAAACGTACAACCATCTGTCTGCCAACTGAAGCTCCGCAGAGGATGGGTGATGCAACAGGACAATGACCCAAAGCATACAAGTAATTCAACAAAACAACGGCTGCAATAGTACAGAATACGCCTTATGGAGTGGCCCAGTCAGAGTCCTGACCTCAACCCGATTGAAATGCTGTGACATGACCTTAAGAGAGCGATTCACACCAGACATCCCAAGAATATTGCTACACTGAAACAGTTTTGTGAAGAGGAGTGGTCCAAAATTACTCCAGATCCTTGTGCAGGTCTGATCTGCAACTACAGGAAACATTTGGTTGAGGTTATTGCTGCCAAAGGAGGGTCAACTAGTTATTAAGTCCAAAGGTTAACAAACTTTTTCCTCCCTGCACTGTGAATGTTTACATGTTATGTGCAATTAAACCATGGCAACATCTAATGTTTGTGTAGTATTATGTTCAGCAGACTGTGTTCTTCTATTGTTGTGACTTAGATGACGTTCAGAGCACATTTTATGCCCAATTCATGCAAAACTCCACGTAATACCAAGGGGTTCACATACTTTTTCTTGCAACTGTATATACACACATATATATATTTATATTTATATGTATGTGTGTGTGTGTGTGTGTATGTATATATATATATATATATATAACACACACACACACACACACACAAAAAATACACACATACTAATATATATATTAGTATGTGTGTATATATATATATATAAATATATATATATATACACACACATATACATACATACATACACACACATATATACATACATACACAGAGAGAGAGAGAATATGTATATATATATATATATATAAATATGTATATATATATATATATATATATATATATATATATATATATATATACACACATATATACATACATATATATATATATATACACACACATACACATATATATATATATATATATATATATATATATATATATACATACACACATATACATACATATATATATATATATATATATATATATATATATACATACACACACACATATATACACAGATACACACATACACACACATACACACACACACTCCAATCAACCATAACTTTATGACCACTGACAGGCATTGATTATCAAAAGTAAGTAGAATGTTGTCCTGGAAGGGTTGAAATGGGCATCGGCAGTTTATTGTCTATGACCACTGTCAGGTAAAGTGAATAAGTGATATATCAGACAGCAATTAAAAATGCTGTCCATGAAGTTAATGGGTTGATAACAGAAACAATGGGCAGTTTGTTGTGTATGGGGCTGCCACAGACTAGTTAGGGTGCCCATGCTGACCCACAGCCAAAAGAACCCACAATGGCCATGTGAGCACCAAAACTGGACCATGTAGGTATGGAAGAAGGTGGCCTTGTCTGAGTCAAGTTTACTTTCTGACCTGGTGGCCTGGTCTGATGAATCCAGTGGAAGGCAGAGTGCGTCACTTCCCTGGGGAAGAAATGGCACCGGGATGCAGTATGGGAAGAAAGCAAGCTGGCAGGGACAGTGCGCTGCTTTGAGCAATGTTCTGCTGGGAAACCTTGGGTCCTGCCATTCATGTGGATGTTACTTTGACTCCTGCCACCTATCTAAACATTGTTGCTGAACAAGTACACCCCTTCATGGAAATGTTATTCCCTGATAGCAGTGGCCTCTTTCAGCAGGTTAATGCGCCTTCCACACTCTAAAAATGGCTCAAGAATGGTTTGAGGAACACAACAACGTGTTAGAAATGTTGACTTGGCCTCAGGTTCTCCAGATCTCCATCCATTGAGCTACTGTGGGTTGTGCTGAAAAAACAAGTCCAATCCATGGAGGCCCCACCTCGCAACTTAAAGAACTTAAAGCGGAGTTCCACTTGACCTATCAAAAAATAAAAGTCAGCAGCTACAAAAACTGTAGCTGCTGATTTTTAAAAAACAGCCACTTACCTGTCCCTCGGTCCCGTGGTGTGTCCCCGGCAGCTCGTTTCACCGGCTGTCCTGTATTCCAGGAGGCCAGCATCTTCACTGTGGGCACCTGGCTGTGACAGCTTGTGGCTTCACAGCCCGGTACCCACTGCGCATGCGCGAGTAGCGCTGCGCTTCATGAATGAATGGTCCTCTAGTATTCTGGGACCTGTCACGTGTCCCAAAAGACTACAGGAAGAGAGGGAGGGAGGACAACTTCTGCTTCTGATCGCCTAGGCGATCGGACCGGAAGTTGGAGCAGTTACCTGCCAAATTTGGGTACCCACTCTGCAAAGGTGCCAATCCTTAATGGGGAGCGGGGGACCAGTCCTTAAAGTGGAACTTCCCCTTTTGGGTGGAGCTCCGCTTTAAAGGCTCTTCTACTGACAGCTCAGTGCCAGGTACCACAGTATGAATTCAGTGGTCTAGTGGCCTCCATGCCTTGATGGGTCAGGGCTGTTTCGGTGGCAAAAGGGGTACCTACTCAATATTAGGTGCGTGAGTAAAAAAGATATGGCTGATTGGTGTGTGTGTAATATATATAATATATATATATTATTATTATTATTATTATTATTATTATTAATTATTTTTTTTTATTACACATATGTAATAAGTAGCTTTTCACACCCACTGAGGAACCTGGACACACTTCAGGGGCTACCACTGGGGGGGGAATCTAGTGTGGCAGATCCATATCATCAATCTGTTCCCTTGGTTATGACATCAGAGAAATGGAGCAATGATCATGATGTGATTGGTGAACGATGTTCTCCACAGTACATCACATTATGAACATTGTACATTGTGAATTGCAGAACATGCTCTGCCCACAAGACATTTAACTGTGTGTGGGACTGGATGAATGCTGGCTACCATGGAGCTGTCTGAAGGTCTGATACATTGACAGTTTTGCTAATAAATTCACAAGGAGGTACCTGGACTTCAGGATGACCCTCAAGTAGGTTTATTGTTCAAATTGTACCCATAACAAAATTTTAGCTGGACCTTTTCTTAAACGGTAACCTTTCACAGTGGTTTCTACATAACCCACTCAAATCCTGGATGTCAATTTACCTCTCAAGGACACAGACACCATCTGCAGTACTTTCAGTATGGCATTTCCGATGCGAGGAAAGTAGTTTTGTGAATAAAAGACGGACTTATTATGTTTTTGAAGACAATTGGCCACGTGGTCAGGCAAGTTACAGATTTTTGCCAAGATGCCTTCATGCAAGACAGGAGTTGGAGTGGCTTCCAGCTGCTGCTCACACACCTCCCAGATGACTTCCGCCAGGGCCCCACGCTGCAGGAATTTCTCAAGCACGTGAACACAGCGATCTAGGCGAGCAGAAGGCCTTTAAGAGACAAGCAAACAAAACACGGTGATTCATTTGTCCGTACCCTTCAGATGTATACTGATGAGAAATTCAGCTATTCACTCAACAATGCTACTGCATCTTACTAAACTGACTTGCTGATTATTTGGTCCCACAAATGGCAGTTTCCAACTTATTAGAACAAAAGAGAACAGTTGGCTAATATTTACTAGACTTCACAGATCATGCCTCTAATCAAGTTATAAACATACAAGGTAATGTTCAAGACAACACGAGCAATGAAAAATATCACTACTTCTACAGATTAGTATTATTTTTTTTTTCTATCTCTTTACCTACTTATTTTGAATCCAGTTCAGTCCAATCAGGTGATCAAGCAGCTCTAGTTCCCGTGTCAGTGAGCCGCTGCTGCAGGGGAGAGGAAGGAGCATTTATGACACCTGAGCCATGGAAGCCTATGAATGATGTCAAGGCTCTGGGATTTCTCCGCCATTTTTGAGTGCTCCCATACAGAGGGGAGCTGATACTGCTGAATCATGTGACCGGACTAAAAAAGGGTAAGTACATAGATATTTTTTTTATACACGGTATGCAGGAGGTAGGTAGGAGGAAGGAGGGAATGTTTTTAAGAATAGTTCGAATTTCGAACAAATTTTCTTTAGGAAATCAGAAATTTCGTGCCTTTTGTAATCCGATGGTGTCACCATTGATTTCGAAAATTCAACCAACCGAGCCTTTAATTTCACCTCGTGTTGCTACAGAAAAGACTTTGTGGCCAAGAATGTTCTTTTCTTTCCAGGTCAGCTCATGCTCATTTCTTTTTTTTTTTCCCATTTATATTTCTCGCATGATTCTCCCATCGATTCAAAATTTGTTTGTTTTCCAAAAAATTTCCAACATACTCGATCACTCAAATTCGATTGTCACATGAAAATTGGCCGTTTCTGCAATGCACAAATGGTGCGAAATTCGAACAAAAATTCTTAGAAAAGAGTTTTGAAAGAAAATTCTTTCGATCCATGTATGGCCGGCTTTAGCCTTTACTACCACTTTAACTTTTTATTTGGAGAAAGCGCTGCTGCAGGTTCACTCCAGTGCTGCTGCCATGAAGTAAAATCCTATGCATGTGATCCACGCTGAAGGCTAGGAGCCTTATCTGTTCCTCACCATCACCAAAGATCACAAGATCAAAGCCCTATAGAAAGATATATCTACTCATCTTTTCTTTTAGTTTTTGATAGAGTGGGGAAGAATTATAAGCTCTTATGTTTTTACGGCTATCCGCAGCTCTTCTAGAGAGACCTGAGCCAATAGTTTTGTTCACATCAGAACTGCTTCTCTCAACATATAAGTCTAATGCAATAAAAGCTTGAAGCAAGCCAAATGTAGGTCAGAAGGAGGTCAATTGCAGGCAAAATGCATTTGACAATGGATCCGAATGATCCCTGAAGCATTTCAAACTGAGTTATATAAAAACCCACATCAGCAGAGAAGTGAATCCTTAAAGCAGGCACCACTAAATGCAGGACCATGGTCCGGACCAGGGCCGAGTGACGGCCCTGCCCAGACTGCCACGGCCGTGGCATTTAGCTGCCTTTATGTCCTCTGTCACTACCGCTGCTATCATCTTCACAGCAGGGCAGAAAGCAGGAGCTGCGATCGGTCTCCATGGAGAGTGGGAGCTGCTCCACTTTTCAAGTTAACAAGTGGCTGGTTGGCTGCTATGATGTGGGGCAGTCCTAGCAAACAAATGGCTGGTTGTTTGCTATGATGTGGGGCAGTCCAAGCAACCAATTACCTGCTTGTTAACAGGAGAGGTTGGGAGGCTCCCACCATCCATCCAGACCGATAGCACCTCCCGCTCTCTGCTAAGAAAGGTAGGACATGAAGGGAGGGGAGAGGGAAGAGCATACTGATGTAAAGGAAGGGGAGCCGTGCTGTTAAGGCGGGCTGCCTTATACAAAGAGTGGACCGCTATGTAAAGAGGGGCACTAACAGTGGTGCTATAATGTAAAAGAGGGGCTGTACCGTACAAGGGGGGACTTTGCTGTGGAAGGGGCAGTGATGTAGAGGGCACGTGGTATAAAAGGGGGAATGCTATATAAAAAGGGGGCTGTGATGTAAAGGTGCTATAATTGTAAAGGGGTATATGTAAAGGGGAGACATATGTGCAAGGAGCTGTAATCTAAAAGGAGGACTTTGATGCAAAGGGGTGGAACTGTGATATAAAGATGGGGGACTATGTTACAAAGGGGGGGAGGGACTAAGATATAAAGATGCGGGACTGTGCTGTAAAGATGGGGGACTACGTTGCAAGGGGGGGGGGGGCTAAGATATAAAGATGCGGGACTGTGCTATAAAGATGGGGGACTACGTTGCAAGGGGGGGGGGGGGGCTAAGATATAAAGATGCGGGACTGTGCTGTTAAGATGGGGGACTACGATGCAAAGGGGGAAGGGGGCTGCAATGTAAAGATGGGGCCTGTGATGCAAAGAGAGGCACTGTATTGTAAAGGAGGCGGTGTTGTAGAAGATTCTGCTTTAATGTAAATGGAGGGACTGTGATGTAAAAGACTGCACTGTAATGTAAATATCGTGCTATGATGTAAATGGGGGCTGGGATGTGAAGGGGGCTGAGTAATAACACAAACATGAGATTTGGACCTCTACTGGAAGAACATTTGATGACCGGACCTCTGTGAATTTCAATTCCACACCCCTGCCTAAAAGTGTATATCCAGTGTAGTTCTCACATTTCCTGTCTGATCACTGTAAGAGACTGTGTCTAGGAGTGTTAGGCTTTTTCTGATGGGCAAAATGCAGCTTGCTTCTAGGTGCATTCTGATTGGAGAAACACTGTAAAAAACACACAGGAGGCCCAAACGCCTAGTGCATTACCAAAAGACACAATTATTATGCACCCATAAAGCCAAAAACACACAAACATAAAAGAAGGCAAGAATGATAAATCACAAAGTTTTGATCCAGGTCACCCAAAGCAGACTCAGATTGGCAGGCTTACGCATTTCGGGGGATACACCCCCTTCTTTAGAGCTAAACCAGCCTAGGGCCACATCTTCCTATATATACAATAATATATAAACCACCCTCACCCTCTTCAGCTTCAAGTGGGTGGAACCAGTCCAACAAAGAGGGTTGGAGGCTCATCCAAACAAACGAACACACGCAAAGATCTTAGTCTTAGGTATTTCTTAGTATGTGTTCGTTTGTGTGGATGACGGAACTCTCGGCTGGTTTAGCTCTGAGTAAGGGAGTGCGGTTCACAAAGCCTGCCAATCTGAGTCAGAGTCTCAGTGACACCATCCACAATCAGGACTTTCTGATTTATCATGCTTGCCTTGTTTTATATTTTTTATTATGTTTTTGGCTTGTGGGCAGGGTGGATTTGATTTAAATCAAACTGATTTAAATCACGATTTAAATCACTAGTCAGTAAGGCTTGATTTAAATCCTAGTTTTCTACATAAATACTAATTCTTGCTGGTATAACTTTAATATGCAAGTAGATGAAGATTTTTAGAACAACAACTTTTCATATTAGTTTTTTTATCCTCAGTTTAATAGGTTAATCATTCATATTTGGACAATTTTTCTGTTGTACTTAGGAAGGAGAAAAATAATCATTACCTTAATAATAACAATTTAAATAGATTTATTCAACTGAAACAATAACATTCCAGCATATGTGATTTGCTTAAACAAACATCCATGTTTAACTAATTTGGCTAAACAAAATATATATATTTTAAGAAACTTAGACTGTCAGCCCCTTCCTCCTCACACTTAGTTTTACTTTCTCCTTGTGCAGATCTATTCCACTCCAAACAATCAGAAAAATATTGTTTCTATTCTATTCACTGAACTTCTTGAAACTTAGCACTGAAGGGGTTGATTCTGTATTCATAGGTTTGTAGAAGTTAGGATTAAGGTCTTTTTCTTAACTCTGTTCATGTTATAACATTTTTGCTGTGAAGAAGAGGCATGTGATCTCCACTGAGTCAAATTCAGTTTTGAGAACTGCAAAAGTAAACCAGACATCTGTGATAATATCTTGTAGGCAGAGAAACTGCCCAATAATCTTACAAAAACCTCTGGAAGAGCATGACATTGTGAATGGATTCATGGAATTTATTTACCCAAAAAAATTTAGCATATACAGCCTTATTCTACATAATTAAAAAACTAATCTTTATTTCATGATGGAATAACCTTTGGATGGTAATATATTTTTTCCTCAAAAAGCATTTTATTTAAAAAAAATCCAATTTAAATAAAAAAAATCTGATTTAAATTAAAAAAAAAATCCGATTTTAAATAAAAAAAATCTGATTTTTTAAATTTTTTTAAAAATAATCATTGATTTTTATCCACCCTGCTTGTGGGTGTATGATAAAAGTGTTCTTTGATAAGGCAGTAGGCGTTTTCGCCTTACTGTATGTTTTTACAGTGTTTCTGTCAAGATTCCCGGGTCTGAGGAGGGTTGCACCGGTGAAGCATTACAGTTGTAAGCTTTGTTTGCGCACATTGGTGCATTCTGTTTGCATTTAGGGACAATTCACACCAGTGCATTGATCTGCACTGCACCAATTTTAGGTTCATCACACATAGCTGGAGAACAACTCAAATTCTTTTAATTCATGTTTTTTCTCATGGTTACTGTGACAATGTGTGAATGCATCAATGCAGTGCATGTTATCTCAGCTTGCAGAGCTTGGATTCATTGAATGAGTTTACCAAAAATGTAGATATTGCAAAATATACAACCTCATGCTGCATAACTAAGCTCCATTTCATACTGAATAAACAAAATTATTCACGTATCTTAATAGATTTTTACTCCAAAAGCATTTTATTTAAATAAATTGCTACGATAGAACCAGTGCTATTGGTGAGGCTTCTGGACTCTCGCCCGGGATGCTTTTGCATCCCGGGCCAGAGCCTTTCCCCACTGTTGCCATTTATAGATATATATTTTGTGTTTGTTGAAACATTATGTATGTGTCTGTTTTGACTGTTGTCTTCCTTACCACTTGTGTGTTTTTTTTTTATAATAGTGTAATAAAACATGTTCCATTTTATCTAGTGTTTCCATGTTGTGCATTTCTATACTTTCATATGGTATGGTGCCTTGAAAAGCCACATTAGTTTTTCCTCCGTTAGGGTTTTTTGCTTTTTTCTGATTAAATAGGGGTGTGGCACCTACACCACTACACAAGGACAGGTGAGATTGAATGTCTCTCCAGCTCCCATCCAATTTTCCTATCTAACAATAGTTATAAGCCTCCCTTATCTATCTTGAGTCAGACACTCACACCTGTTTGCCCCAGACTGTCCACCAGCACCAGGAAGGCTTGGTCTGCAGGACCCTTTAGGAAGAAACTGTCCCAGAGATCCAAATGTTCTGAAGTCAGAAGGTCCATCCACTGGGGACCCATTTTGGCCACCAAAAACCTGAGAAAAGGAGTGTAGTGTGATCGATAAAAAACTCAGCGATCTCCTGTGCTGTTGCCGGATTCTCACCCTGCCCCAGGTAACATTCAATGCCAGTCAGAACTTCCACCAATTTATCTCCATCAGAGATCTTAGACAAGTCGGTGAGGGCACCATAGACGGCAGAGCGCACAGACAGGATGTCCTGATCCATCATAGGAGGGCTCTATGACCTACAACATAAAACACAGGCAGTTAGGGGGTACGTACAGCTAAAGCTGACCCTCTGTCAGAGATCTATCTACTCACCATGAAATAAATGTCATCACTACAATCCTATAAAGGCTTTCACATGTTAATGTAATTTCAGAAGTCGTTTCCAAGGGTTTTAAAATTTGAAGCTTTCATTAGATTACCTGGTGATCCTGCCATGATGGACCTTGCGCAGGCACTTCCTGCTACAGGGTGACAATGCTATGTCCTGTCCCCAGCACTGTCACCCTGTCACTTTCTCTCCCTGATGGAGACCACAAGCAGTCATGCCGATGTCCATCAAAGAAGTACACCCCAATCATTAGACTTCCCTTCTATTACACTGTTCAACAAATTTTTATTTTTTGCCAGTTTTGGAAACAAAAGGATCCATTTCTTAATGAATTTCACATTCTGAGTTCAAATATAACAATGAAATTTGTCAATTGGCTCTAGTTTTTCTGTAAACGGAAAGTTTTCTACTATAGGCGTAATGACTACATAATGCACAATAATTATATAGATAGATGTCTTTCCACAAATATAAAGCAAGTGATATTGACTACATAACAAAGCCTAAATGGCATAATATATTGCATAGGATTACCAAGAAAAATTATAGCCATAAGCTAAGTTGAATCATTTTAATACTTAGGATTCTCACTAGTTTTGTCTTCAGTTTGTGTCGGTTTTGCTTCTCTTGGCTTTTCTCTTGTATTCGAGGAAAGGGCTATCTCTTACAACTGCACGTGACTACACGCTTCAGGTTCTTCCTCACTTGACTCAACCACAAAGGATTCTGGTGCTTTAGGAATTGGTAGCCCCTCTCCATGAGGAACTGGACGTATTGCCGATGGAATATTTGGATAGTGCACAGATATTTTTCTTCTTATTTAGCCCTTTTACAATTGGAGGTATTGCCGATGGAATATTTGGATAGTGCACAGATAACTTTTTCTTCTTATTTAGCCCTTTTACAATTGGAGGCACCATACAAAAGTAACAATTACTAACATGATCTGTTGGCTCTCTCCAAATCATTGGCACAGCGAAAGGCATAGATGCCTTTTTTCCATTCAACCATTGCTCCAGTGCCGTCCCACAAGAATTGCAGCATATATGTGGTGCCCAGCTCTTGTCCTAGTCTCCTATCTTGCAGTCAAAATACAAGTTGTAGGCTTTCTTAATCATTCCTGTTATCCTCCTTTTTTGTGAGATAAAAGTTATTTCACCGCAGATATAGCAGAAATTATCTGCTTTATTCACACAAGTTCGAGGCATTACTGAGTAGCCTATATAAGCATAAAACGAAATGTAAAGACGAACTACAATCAGCTACAGATACTGCAGCTTTTATGCAGTGAAGTGATGCAATTAAAGGCTAATATTGCATCATCTCAGTATACATGCAATTTTCTATTGGTCACCAGTATCAATTGCGCAATATGCAGCTGAAGTTGCATCATAATTTTGAATGGCTTACGTCATTAGATGGGTGAATATATCATGGAAACTAAAGCCAATCAACATTTTTTAGGGTCATTTTCGTTTTCAGCACCCCAAAATTATGTAAGATTAGCTAATTTTATGCCCAAAACTTTTTACCTGTTGAACACGGGACTTTTTGGCAAAAGAATACTCAGTGTGCAGAACATATGCAACTATTGTGTTATAAGCCATGAAAGTATCTACACCTGGATGGTTCTCTGCCCTCACACACTTCAGGTGGGCATCAAAGTGTCCCTGGAAATTGGCCTGTATGCCATTCATAGTATCCTGGGATATACAGCACAGTGTCCCTGGAACTGATCGGTATATCAGTCAGGTCTCACACATCATATCCTAAGATATACAGCACAGTGTCCCTGGAAATTACTGTATATCAGTCAGGTGTCACACATCATATCCTGAGATATACAGCAGTGTCCCTGGAAATGATTGGTATATCAGTCAGGTGTCACACATCATATCCTGAGATATACAGCAGTGTCCCTGGAAATGATTGGTATATCAGTCAGGTGTCACACATCATATCTTGGGATGTACGGCACAGTGTCCCTGGAAATGACTGTATATCAGTCAGGTGTCACACATATCCTAGGATGTACAGCACAGTGTCCCTGGAACTGATCGCTCGGTATATCAGTCAGGTGTCACACATCATATCCTGAGATATACAGCAGTGTCCCTGGAACTGATCGGTATATCAGTAAGGTGTCACACTTCATATCCTGGGATGTAGAGCACAGTGTCCCTGGAACTGATCGGTATATCAGTCAGGTGTCAAACTCTACATCCTGGGATATAAAGCACACTGTCCCTGGAAAGGACTGGTATGGCAGTCTAGTGTCATGTATTGTATTCCAGGGATATACAGCACAATGTCCCTAGATATTGCAGGTAATTTTCAGTGTCACACATCCTATCCTGGGATAGACACTCAGCGGCCACTTTATTAGCTACATCTGTTCAATCACTTGGTAACACAAGTTGCTAATCAACCAAAAATATGGCAGCAACTCAATGTATTTAGTCATCTAGATACGGTGAAGACAAATTGCTGAAGTTCAAATAGAGCATCAGAACGGGGAAGAAAGGGGATTTAGGTGACTTTGAACGTGGTATGGTTGTTGGTGACAGACAGGCTGATCTACTGGGATCATCACACACAACCATTTCTAGGGAAATCAAAACTCATCAGACCAGGCAACGTTTTTTTCCAATCTTCTGCTGTCCAATTTTGGTGAGCCTGTGCGAATTGCAGCCTGTTTCCTGCTTTTTTTTTCCTGTTTTTCTTAGGGAACAGGAGTGGCACTCAGTGTGGTCTTCTGCTGCTGTAGCCCATCTGCTTCAAGGTTCATTGTGTTGTGCGTTCAGAGATGGTATTCTGCATATCGTGTTGTTATTGGAGTTACTGTTGCTTTTCTATCATCTTGAACCAGTCTGCCCATTCTCCTCTGACATCAACAAGGCATTTTCGTCCACACAACTGCCCTCACTGGATATTTTCTATTTTTCGGACCATTCTCTGTAAACCCTAGCGATGGTTGTGTGTGAAAATCCCAGTAGATCAGCAGTTTTTGAAATATTCAAACCAGCCCGTCTGGCACCAACAACCATGCCATGTTCAAAGTCACTTAATCCCCTTTCTTCCCTATTCTGATGCTCGGTTTGAACTTTAGCAAAATCATCTTCACTACATCTAGATGCCTAAATGCATTGAGTTGCTGCCATGTGATTGGCTGATTAGCCATTTGTGTTACCAAGCAATTGAACAGATGTACCTAATAAAGTGACCAGTGAGTGTATAGCGCAGTGTCCCTGGAAATGACCAGTACGCAGGGGTGTTCTGACAACTCACGGGGCCCCCGGGAAATAGGGGATCATGGGGCCACTGTTTCCTTGCCCACACTCAAAAAAAGCCTATAAAAAAGGTACCAGGGGCATTTCATGTGGCCCCCTACTGACCTCGGGCAATGCCCGAGTGCTCGAATGGTCAGTCCGCCCCTGCCGGTACGTCAGCCCAGTGCCATTCATATCATATTGGAATATATAGAAAGGGGCCCCATGGTGCTCTCACAGCCAGGAATGTTACATCACCACTTGTGGGTTCATCAATATTATCATCCACCCTGTGTTACCTGTACACCACCCCACTCTCTGCCTGAGAAACCTGCAGCAGCAGATCCCAATACCTGTACCCAGGAGTCCTCTCAATAGTCCAACAGAGATATCAGCGATCTCCCACACTGTGCACTGAGCTCTATCCTTCCTGCTGCCAAGCCTCACTCTGGGCCTCAGCACAGATCCTATGACTTCCTATAGCCAAGCCTCTTTCTGGGCCCCAAAACAGATCCTATGACATCATATAGCCAAGCCTCACTCTGGGCCTGAGCACAGATCCTATGACTTCCTATAGCCAAGCCTCACTCTGGGCCACAATACCGATTCTATGACTTCCTATAGCCAAGCCTCACTCTGGGCCTCAGCACAGATCTTATGACTTGCTATAGCCAAGCCTCACTCTGGCCCCAATACAGATCCTATGACTTCCTATAGCCAAGCCTCTTTCTGGGGCCCAATACAGATCCTATGACTTCCTATAGCCCAGTGTTTCCCAACTCCAGTCCTCATGGACCCCCAACAGGTCATGTTTTCAGGATTTCCCTCAGATGAAACAGCTGTGGTAATTACTAAGGCAGTGAAACTGATCAAATCACCTGTGCAAAATAATGGAAATCCTGAAAACATGACCTGTTGGGGGTCCATGAGGACTGGAGTTGAGAAATACTGCTATAGCCAAACCTCGCTCTGGGCCTCAGCACAGATCCAATGACTTCCTATAGCCAAGCCTCGCTCGGGGCCTCAGCACAGATCATATGACTTCCTATACCCAAAGCCTCTTTCTCGTCCCAGCACAGATCCTATGACTTCCTATAGCCAAGCCTCTTTCTGGTCCCAGTACAGATTATTGAGCCTTGTTCTGAGGCCAGTACTAGGGTTGCTGCCTCATCCTTTTAAACCCAAACACATATTAATTACACAGGTTATGTGACTGATTAAGGTGATAATTAAACTCACTTGGTGACTTATCTGCTTTAAATTAGCTTCAGCACTTGTGTCATTAACCACTCACCCTCCAGAGGATTTCCCCCCTTCCTAACCAGACCATTGTTATGGTGCTGCGTTACTTTAGCTGACAGTTGCGCGGTCATGCAACGCTGCACCCAAATAAAAATGTCCTTTTTTTCCTCATGAATTGTGCTTTCTTTTGGTGGTATTTGATCGCCTGTGCATTATTTTTTGCGCTATAAGCAAAAAAAGACCCAACAATTTTGAGAAAAAAAACTATATTTTTTTTACTTTTTGCTATTAGACATGTCCAGTAAAAAAATGTAAAAAATCAAATTTCGTCATACATTTAGGGCAAAAATGTATTCTGCTCCATGTCTTTGCTAGAAAAAA